GTCCTCCTTCTACAGTCTGAGTCCTCCTTCTACAGCCTGAGTCCTCCTTCTACAGTCTGAGTCCTCGTTCTACAGCCTGAGTCCTCCTTCTACAGCCTGAGTCCTCCTTCTACATCCTTCTACAGCCTGAGTCCTCCTTCTACATCCTTCTACAGCCTGAGTCCTCCTTCTACATCCTTCTACAGCCTGAGTCCTCCTTCTACATCCTTCTACAGCCTGAGTCCTCCTTCTACAGCCTGAGTCCTCCTTCTACAGTCTGAGTCCTCCTTCTACATCCTGAGTCCTCCTTCTACAGCCTGAGTCCTCCTTCTACAGCCTGAGTCCTCCTTCTACAGCCTGAGTCCTCCTTCTACAGCCTGAGTCCTCCTTCTACAGCCTGAGTCCTCCTTCTACAGTCTGAGTCCTCCTTCTACAGCCTGAGTCCTCCTTCTTCAGTCTGAGTCCTCCTTCTACAGTCTGAGTCCTCCTTCTACAACCTGAGTCCTCCTTCTACATCCTTCTACAGCCTGAGTCCTCCTTCTACAGCCTGAGTCCTCCTTCTACAGCCTGAGTCCTCCTTCTACAGTCTGAGTCCTCCTTCTACAGCCTGAGTCCTCCTTCTTCAGTCTGAGTCCTCCTTCTACAGTCTGAGTCCTCCTTCTACAGTCTGAGTCCTCCTTCTACAACCTGAGTCCTCCTTCTACATCCTTCTACAGCCTGAGTCCTCCTTCTACAGCCTGAGTCCTCCTTCTACAGCCTGAGACATCCTTCTACAGCCTGAGTCCTCCTTCTACAGTCTGAGTCCTCCTTCTACAGTCTGAGTCCTCCTTCTACAGCCTGAGTCCTCCTTCTACAACCTGAGTCCTCCTTCTACAGTCTGTTTGTCCGTGGGAGCTCTCGAGTTTGGGTCGCTTTTCGGTTTCGCACTTTTCTCTCACTGGGATTTAAGAATTGTTCTTTGCCGATCTGTGTTGGCGAATCAACAACTTTGTTTAAGTCCTCTGAGATAACTCCTGCTGTGATTTAGGGCGATACAAACATAAATTGAATTGAACTGAATCAACGCACAGCCCTGAATGTATCGGTCTGTCCACATTCCCTCCCACAGTTTAATAACCACTGTCTGCACATAAAGAGTTTGAATGAGTGAGTCCTGTCTAAATGGTCCCACCCCAGGGGCCCCGGGAGCTGGGGGCCGATTCCCTGGGAGCCTCCACACTTCCACATAATCAGCCTGATGTGTGATGAGCTCTTTTCTCTGATCGGCTGCTTTCTGCTGATGGCACAGGGAGTAAAGAGGCTGAATCCTGATGACTGGGCAGAACGTGGCTCTAATGGCGGGGCCCTCTGACCCCGGGTGAACACTTACAGGCCGATGGTCCCCCAGGGGCCCGCTCAGTCCTGCTCACATCACAGAGGCAGCTTAACTCCTCGCTCAGTAAAACGCTAACGCACTGATGTGGAAACTTTCTTATAAATACTCTAATACACGGAGAGAGGTCTTTACATTTGTGCTGAAGAGACATATTCTGCAACAACCAAGAGCACAGGGCCTTCTCTATGGTCTTAAACCCGGAGCACAGGGCCTTTTCTGTGGTCTTGAACCCAGAGCACAGGGCCTTCTCTGTGGTCTTAAACCCAGAGCTCAGGGCCTTCTCTGTGGTCTTAACCCCAGAGCACATGGCCTTCTCTGTGGTCTTAAAAGCAGAACACAGGGCCTTCTCTGTGGTCTTAAACCCCAGAGCACAGGGCCTTCTCTGTGGTCTTAAAAGCAGAGCACAGGGCCTTCTCTGTGGTCTTAAAAGCAGATATGATTGATGAAGGCTTAACATACTCAATACAATTTTATGTATATATATTGTGCGACGTTGTGCAGGACTAAATCAATGATTGAACGGCCTCTTCTCCATCGCACCGATCGGGATTAAATCATGTGTGGATTTCCATTTAATTCATTAAAACTGTCACCAACGTTTCCTGGACTTGAATGTGGCTAAAACAAAGAAGCGTATAATTAATTTCAGAAAGAAAGTGACAATTTTTCCCTGTTTTGTTTGTTTTAGTTCTGTATTTTTGACCTTATTTCATTTCTGTTCTTGTCTGGTGCACACTGGGGACTTGTACGTGTATTCCAATGGGGTTTTACTGCAAATGGCAATTGAAATGAATCTGAATCTGAATCTCGGTACTTGTCGTGTTGTCCACAATGATTCAGATTCAGTTTATGTTATAACCACATTGGATATGTGGCTTAAGTCCCCAGTGTGCACCTGACAAGAACATACACAATAAAAAAGTATAAAAACAATCGTCACTGTAAAACCAACCAAACAAAAACAGTTTAATTAACAAAATATGAATGGCCTGTCATGGATGTCAAAACTTTCAAAACTACTAAATGACTAAAAATGTTGTACGAAACTGACTTTATTAGCATTTTTGCCGATGCAGGAGGATCGAACTGTAAATATACCACTGACTAAACTAAAGCCTGGTTCACACAAGACGATTTTAAAATTGTCGGCCAATTTTCCAAACCTGAGAGACCAAACACACGGAGTTTTAAAAAATCAAGGGTCCACTTTGGTCGTACAGTGTGTGGTGCGCAGCCACACGGCAAAATCATGCAAACCACACACAAACCGATTTCCCCCAGAGCATTCCCAGGTCAGACGGAAATCTCATAAAATCTCTGGAGATCAAGCGTGACTTCAAAGGAAACAATCATGGAGAACGAAGAGGATGCAGAAAAAGTGTTATCAAAGAAAAAGGCGATGGTCAAAGAAATGGAGACAACGTGAGAATAGACTATATACAGTTCCTTGCGAAAGTATTCGGCCCCTTGAACCTTTCAACATTTTGCCACATTTCAGGCTTCAAACATAAAGACATAACATTTTTATTTTTTGTCATGAATCAACAAGTGGGACACAATCGTGAAGTGGAACGAAATTTATTGGATAATTTAAACTTTTTTAACAAATAAAAAACTGAAAAGTGGGGCATGCAATATTATTCGGCCCCTTTACTTTCAGTGCAGCAAACTCAGTCCAGAAGTTCAGTGAGGATCTTTGAATGATCCAATGTTGTCCTAAATGACTGATGATGATGAATAGAATGCACCTGTGTGTAATCAAGTCTCCGTATAAATGCACCTGCTCTTTGATAGTCTCAGGGTTCTGTTTAAAGCGCAGAGAGAACCATGAAGACAAAGGAACACACCAGGCAGGTCCAAGATACTGTTGTGGAGAAGTTTAAAGCTGGATTTGGATACAAAAAGATTTCCCAAGCTTTAAACATCTCAAGGAGCACTGTGCAAGCAATTATATTGAAATGGAAGGAGTATCAGACCACTGCAAATCTACCAAGACCCGGCCGTCCCTCCAAACTTTCATCTCAAACAAGGAGAAGACTGATCAGAGATGCAGCCAAGAGGCCCATGATCACTCTGGATGAACTGCAGATAACTGCAGCTCAGGTGGGAGAGTCTGTCCATAGGACAACAATCAGTCGTGCACTGCACAAATCTGGCCTTTATGGAATAGTGGCAAGAAGAAAGCCATTTCTCAAAGATATCCATAAAAAGTCTTGTTTAAAGTTTGCCACAAGCCACTTGGGAGACACACCAAACATGTGGAAGAAGGTGCTCTGGTCAGATGAAACCAAAATCGAACTTTTGGGCCACAATGCAAAACGATATGTTTGGCGTAAAAGCAACACAGCTCATCACCCTGAACACACCATCCCCACTGTCAAACATGGTGGTGGCAGCATCATGCTTTGGGCCTGCTTTTCTTCAGCAGGGACAGGGAAGATGGCTAAAATTGATGGGAAGATGGATGGAGCCAAATACAGGACCATTCTGGAAGAAAACCTGTTGGAGTCTGCAAAAGACTTGAGACTGGGACGGAGATTTATCTTCCAACAGGACAATGATCCAAAACATAAAGCCAAATCTACAATGGAATGGTTCACAAATAGACGTATCCAGGTGTTAGAATTGCCAAGTCAAAGTCCAGACCTGAATCCAATCGAGAATCTGTGGAAAGAGCTGAAGACTGCTGTTCACAAACGCTCTCCATCCAACCTCACTGAGCTCGAGCTGTTTTGCAAGGAAGAATGGGCCAGAATTCCAGTCTCTTGATGTGCAAAACTGATAGACATACCCCAAGCGACTTGCAGCTGTAATTGCAGCAAAAGGTGGCGCTACAAAGTATTAGCGCAAGGGGGCCGAATAATATTGCATGCCCCTCTTTTCAGTTTTTTATTTGTAAAAAAAGTTTAAATTATCCAATAAATTTCGTTCCACTTCACGATTGTGTCCCACTTGTTGTTGATTCTTGACAAAAAATTTAATTGCTATATCTTTATGTTTGAAGCCTGAAATGTGGCGAAATGTTGAAAGGTTCAAGGGCGCCGAATACTTTCAATACTTGTGTATATTTATGCGCCATGCCACTGACTGTTATGATTCTTTTCTGGTGTTTCCTCGTCGCCTCAAAAGACGCCTGCTCGCCTGACCCCGACACCACACACAAAGAGAAATCGTGCCAAAACAATCCAGCATGTTGGATATCCCCGATTTGAGATTGGAGCAGTCCCAAAGTCCTTCTGAGCGACGCAGTCTTAACACACCACACATGGAAAATCCATCAGATTTTTTAAAACGAAAATCAGAGTGTTCAAGATTGTGGTTAGGGGTAAATCGGGTCTTAAATCTGCCTAATTATCCTGCCGTGTGAACTAGACTTAAGCGGTAGCAACCACATCATTTAAGTTCAGTTCATTTAGAATAATAAATAGGGGGAGTGAGTTTAAATGTCTTAACTTCTTCCCACTTGTTTTCGAGCTGGATTTTTGTTACTAAAACTAAACATTTACTGTGTATTTGTAATTCATCGTGTATTGTTTCTATTTTGCTGTTGTTTTGTTTTGTTGTTCTTTGTTCTTGTTTGCCATGGCTCAAAATAAAGTATTCATTCATTCATCTGAGACTGGATCATCACTGGGTTTTCCTGCAAATGGGTTTATTTACCAACAGCAAAATAGAAAATCAAAGTTTGAAGACAGTCGATGAAGAGCTCTGCGACGGCGTGTGGGACAGCCCCTCCCCTCTATGCTGTGAGGCAGGTCCGGGGCCCCTCCCCTCTGTAAGCTGTGTGGTGGCTCCTGGCCCCTCCCTCATATCAGTGAAGTCAGAGAGGGAGTCCCAGGGGCCCTCAGGCAGCGGGAGCCTCCCTCCTGCTGCTCAGAGCATCTGTGACTGGCAGCCCGCTCACTGCCCACACAGGACCCTGCTCTGACACAGATCTGAGACTGTCACTGACTCAGGACAGATCTGAGGACCTGACCCTCACAGCGGTCACGACCACAGACACCTGAGGAGGACCAGGATCAAGACCAGGACCAGGACCAAACCCTACAAAGACCTGCAGGGCTGGATGACACACGGACTGGATCCCAATAAGAAGTTCAATGAAAAAGACCAAAAGGACGGATGCATCACTGGATTCAAATAGACACCGACTGGATCCATCAGGACTGGATCTAAACCAGACCCTCAGAGCGTTTGAGGCTGGAGGGGTCACACCAAACCCGGATCCTCACGAGACCAGAGCTCAGCAAAACCGGATCCAAAGAGGACTCGATCTGACCAAGAAACTTATCAACTCTGGACCCAACTCCACTGGATCCTAAAACGACTTCAGCGTTCCCAGAAGAGTTTCCAGACCCTCGAGGACCAGGGTCTGTGGACGTGAGGAGCCGGCCTCATGGCTCCCCTGGTGCTAGTGGTGATGGTCCTGGTTCCCCTGGTGCCCCTGGTCCAGGCTGGGTGCCCGTCCGCCTGCCGCTGCTCCTTTGCCATGGTGCAGTGTCTGGAGCCAGATGGCATTTCTCTGATTCCTGCTCTGGCGGCGGCGGAGAGCGAGAACGTCACCGAGATGTGAGTCTGTGTCCCGTTCAAAGTTCTACCTGAAGTTCTCCAAATCTGATGTGTAATTTTTTTCAGGGTTTTTCTGAACACAAAAAATCCTTTCTTTTCCATCACATGTGCTTTCATATAAATAGTGAGTGAGTAAGATGTATTTATGCAGCACTTTCACAGACCACGGTCGCAGTAAAAGCAAATCGAAAACTCAGAATATTTTGTGTGAAAATGGTCCAAATGTCACATATTTTTGAAAAACAAGGATGAATGATTTTACAAGATTGATTACATACTTTGCTTCAGTTTGTCGATGCAGCGGAAAAAGTGTAATGCTGAATGAATGAATCTGGGGTTAGAGTTAAATGGTGTGTTGTTAAAATCCCATGTAAGAATTATGCAACGGGTTCTGTTCAATGACATTATGTGAGGATTGGAAGGATTTCATCACTGGTGGTTTTAAAACTAAGCCGTTGAAAACCGTATGTATATATTTGATCTGAAGCGTTTGAGATACTTCTATAATTTTGTGTTATTATTTCGGACAGAAAACGTACACTACACATTAACCTCAAAGAGAGAGATGCTTCTATGGTCCTGAGCTGCTGACGTTATTAAAATGTATTGAAGTCACTCTGTATGAACCAGAATTAAAATATCAAGAGTTTTTAAAATCACACCATTAGCACTAAATCATCTCATTCTTTACAATGTTCTCACACACACACACACACACACACACACACACACACACACACACACGCAAATCAAATGCACACGCACACACTAATGCACATACAAGCACACACACACAGACACAGACGCGCACACACACACACACATACAGATACACACACACACACACACATACACACACACACACAGACAGACACACACGCACACACACATACAGACACACACACACCTAGATCCACATGCTCACACTCGAACACACACGCACACACACATCCACTCACACACACACACACACACACACACACACACACACACACACACACACACACACACAGACACGCACACACATACATCCACTCGCACACACACACATCCACTCACACACACACACACACACACACACTGTTTCAGAGCCCAAACAGAGGAACTCTTTCAATGGAGGTTTTTGTTCAGACGATAAAAAAAGACTAAAAGAGAATAAATATTGTGAGAATATGACAGGGATGGGGCGACAGGGTGCACAGCAGGTTTGAGGCCCTTCTTTGTGGGATTTGCATGTTCTCCCGGTGTCTGTGTCGGTGCAGAGTGTGTGTTTGTGAGTGCTACAGATGGACATTAGCCTCAGGCCCCAGTCTGGTGTATTTACAGCTGTTCATTGTCCATTCAAACACATAAATCATGAATCTTAAAAGCTTTTATTTAGAGATTCAAGTGACCTGAGGGCAGCTTTAGTTTGGCTTCTGAGGCCTCCGTAGAAAGTGAGTGTATTTGTCTAAAAGTTGAATGTGATTCTACATGTGGGATACATTTGGTTCTAATATGGATGTATTGTAACATTCTGTGATTCAGTTTTATTGTGATTTGTGAAGAACATTAGGGCAGTTTTATTTAGCCTCATGGAAATGTTCTTCCGCTCATGTGTTTTTGAGCAGATGCTTTCAATGTCGTCATCTTAAATATCACTTTACTCTTACTTACATGTGGTATCTCATTTATGTACAGTGTAAACAGCAGGGGGCCCAGAACGGAGCCTTGAGGAACACCCATACTGCAACGCTCTGTTGTCTGTCACTGTGGTCACACAAAAATCAAAACTTTTGTTTTAAAAGACAGAAAATGACTTTATCCATGACGCAATCTGAGAGAAAGTATTTTGACTGAAGTTCCTGAAGATGGTGCATAAAGTTCCATCTGTAGTTTGGCCTGATACAAGTGTAATACGCAACTCTGTGGCAGGAATGTCCTCAGCTCAATTCCACCTCCAGATTTTTCTATGTTGAATTTGCATGTTCTCCCTGTGTCTGAGTAGGTTTCCTCTGGGTGCTCCGGTTTCCCCTACCACTAAAAACATGTATAATAGTCTGAATGTAATGAGAGAGCTTTGATGAGTCTTGCTTCGGTCATCACTGTGTGGAGAGAACGGAAACATATTGGAACTCAAAATAGTAAAGCCGTGGTCTGTGAATAACACTATACAAATAAAGATGACTTACTTTTTAATAAATTACAATCATTGACTTTTATTAATAATCTCAGAATTTCTTTAAAACAACTAGGGATGCCCGTCTGTGCCAGAGGTTGTTGGTATAAACGTAGATGCAGCTGAAAGCACCTCGCTGCTGTACGAGGTCTTTGCATAATATGTCTCCTGTGAAATATGTGAAATATGTGAGTGTGCTTAAGCTTTGGTCGCCGTCACAGAGCTCTGTCCATCTGGCTGATCAATACCCACACGCCAAACACACTCTGCATAAAGAGCACAGGCCCAAACATCAGCCCATTACCCAGAGGCCAAACCAACGCACACTCAGCTATAAATCCAATTTTCACAATTGCCAGTCAGTGCCCCCACCGGGAACAAAGGATGATATACAGCCACTTAATCCAATCGCAGAGGCAACAGGCAAAGCACCTGCCAGTAACCAGATCTTCACACACACACACACACACACACACACACTCCCACGACCAAAGTAAAGTCTCTCCAAATGCAATCTCCAATCAAGTGTCATCAAACTGTCATCAGGCATCAGCAGACTCAGCCAATCATCCTCATAACTGCCTTTTATTCAGACTCTAGCACAGACTCGAGCTAAATGTTCTGAGGCCGGAGATTTTATATTCTATCAGCGGGATATAGGTCAAGTCCCTCCAATGATCGATGTGTGTGTTTGGATACGTTTGAATAAGATCATGAACGCACAGATGACACTAAACACAGTCCCGGTCCGTCTGTGGGAGCGGGTCCCTCTCTCGACCTGGCCCCCGAGGTTTCTCACTTTCTCCCACTGGGTTTTAAAGATGTTCCTCTGACCAATGACTCTATGTGTTTTTTTTATCATTGCATTTCCTTTGTTTGAACTGTTTGATTCTCTGATCTGTGTCGGCGAATCGACAGCTTTGTAAAGTCCTCGGAGATAACGACTGTTGCGATTTAGGGCGATACAAAAGTAACTTGAATAGATTTTTGGTGAGTCTATGGTTCTCCATCCTTCATCAGCTCCTGAGGGCAGCAGTCTGAGCCTCCAGACTTCCCCCTCCACAGACGCTTCCCTATCACACGCATAGAGCAGGTGTCCAGTAGAATCACAAATTGGTCGTAATCCACTTGCTGTGATTTGCATTAATTCCCAGAAAATGTGTAACTTTACCTGCAGTCTCAGCTTATTTCTCACTTTCTGAAATTGTTGTTTTATTGCTTAGAGTTTTATTGCTTAGAGTTTTATTGCTCCAAAAACATGAAATTCCCTGGATTGTTTTACTTTGTTTCTAAACTCAACTCACCGGCGCACTCACCATTCTGTATAAATGTGATTAGTTTATTATTTCACATTTCAATCTCCAATGCTGCCTCTCCTTAACCCTTTAACATTCGCTCCCTGAAGAAAAAAATGTCTTTTTTTATTTTTGAAGATGTAGGACACCAATAACAAAACGTTTCGGGGTTTTTTTACCCACAATTTTTATTTTTATTTTATTACAGGTCTTTACTGAGATGCAGTTTGATGAAAAAGAGCCTAAAAGCCTCTAAAGTTAAAGTAGATATAGTGGAATCTTACTTTTTTACCCGTAGAACCCAGACAGTTAAATATTTGTGGAATTAAATATCTGTGCTGTTTGTTGTCAATGGGAAAGAAAATGTGTCTTGGAAAGCAAACTTCAAAGACCAAATGTGGCATTGTAGCATATTTGATTCTGTGGGTTCTTGGGTTCATACATTAGTTCATGAAAAAAAAAAAAGTCAGAAGTCTTTTGCCAAAACCTCTGGACTTTATGTTGCATATTTGTAACCGAGGGTGCCACGGGGTTAGCATAAATGGCTAATCCAATGGTTGGACTGGACAGAAGTTTGACAGGGGACTGGACAGGGGTTGGACAGGGGACTGGACAGGGGTTGGACAGAAGTTTGACAGGGGACTGGACAGGGGTTGGACAGGGGACTGGACAGGGGACTGGACAGGGGTTGGGCAGGGGACTGGACAGGGTTTGGACAGGGGACTGGACAGAAGTTTGACAGGGGACTGGACAGGGGTTGGACAGAGGTTGGACAGGGGACTGGACAGGAGTTGAACAGGGGACTGGACAGGGACTGGACAGGGGTTGGACAGGGGACTGGACAGGGGTTGGACAGGGGACTGGACAGGGGTTGGACAGGGACTGGACAGGGGTTGGACAGGGGTTGGACAGGGATTGGACAGGGGTTGGACAGGGGACTGGACAGGGGTTGGACAGGGGTTGGACAGGGATTGGACAAGGGTTGGACAGGGGACTGGACAGGGGTTGGACAGGGGTTGGACAGAGGACTGGACAGAGGTTGGACAGGGGACTGGACAGGGGACAGGACAGGGGTTGGACAGGGGACTGGACAGGGTTTGGACAGGGACTGGACAGGGGTTGGACAGGGGTTGGACAGGGATTGGACAGGGGTTGGACAGGGGTTGGACAGAGGACTGGACAGAGGTTGGACAGGGGACTCGACAGGGGACAGGACAGGGATTGGACAGGGGTTGGACAGGGGTTGGACAGAGGACTGGACAGAGGTTGGACAGGGGACTGGACAGGGGACAGGACAGGGGTTGGACAGGGGACTGGACAGGGTTTGGACAGGGACTGGACAGGGACTGGACAGGGGTTGGACAGGGGTTGGACAGGGGTTGGACAGGGGTTGGACAGAGGACTGGACAGAGGTTGGACAGGGGACTCGACAGGGGACAGGACAGGGATTGGACAGGGGTTGGACAGGGGACTGGACAGGGGACTGGACAGGGGTTGGACAGGGGTTGGACAGGGGACTGGACAGGGGACTGGACAGGGGACTGGACAGGGGTTGGACAGGGGTTGGACAGGGGACTGGACAGGGGTTGGACAGGGGTTGGACAGGGGTTGGACAGGGACTGGACATAGGCTGGACTCTCTGTTGCTCGTATGCAGAGGTGGATTGATCCGCAGCTGGTGTCTTCAGAGGTATCTGGTGTCTGCGTCAGTGGAAAAAGACTCATTAAGAGCTCTCCCTCAGACTGGGCTCCTCTTCATCCTCACATCATCCTCATCCTCTCTTCATCCTCACATCATCCTCACATCTTCCTCACATCTTCCTTACATCTTCCTCACCATCAGAACACACTGATCCATACTCAAAATCTGCTTTCGAAAAAAAAAAATTACACTCAAATACAATTTTTTTTAAATATATTTGTTATCATAATGTTGTATTTTCCTCAAGCCATAACGAGCAACAATGTGGGTCTGTCGCCCTCCTAATAAATGCAGATATTAACTGTTTCTGCCTTCAATTCAAGTCATTCTTGTATCGCCCTAAGTCACAACAGTAATATCTCAGAGGACTTCACAAAGCTGTCGATTCACCAACAACAGATCAGAGAATCAAACAGTTCAAACTCACAAAATGAAATAATAACTAACACACAGAGAAATTAGTACATAAAGGACAGAGACCAATGTTCATAAATGTTGTTGAATGTGGAGGTTCCTGGATCATCACCACTGTCCAGGACTGAGGCTGTAGATCCAGGACTGAGGCTGTAGATCCAGGACTGAGGTTGTAGATCCAGGACTGAGGCTGTAGATCCAGGACTGAGGCTGTAGATCCAGGACTGAGGCAGTAGATCCAGGACTGAGGCTGTAGATCCAGGACTGAGGCTGTAGATCCAGGACTGAGGCTGTAGATCCAGGACTGAGGTTGTAGATCCAGGACTGAGGCTGTAGATCCAGGACTGAGGCAGTAGATCCAGGACTGAGGCTGTAGACGCAGTACTGAGTCTGTAGATCCAGGACTGAAATCAGACAAATACCCTGCTGCCGATTTCAAAGATCAAATCTCTGTCCACCTTCAGAGATGCTGTTTGAATAAACCAAAGTGCTTCTTGTTAGTTTTATGTGTCCATTGCTGCTTGCAGCTACACGTGGTCTTTGTAAATCCAGATATGTCCCCAAACAACTGACCAATCAGGTGCCTTCAGTCCACAGATTCGGCTTCAGCGGGTGGTAAAAGACCATCGCAGTTCCTGATCAGCTATTTGGTTGCTAGGTTGTTAGTTGTGAACCAAGAAATCCATATTCCTGCCCATGGTCCTAGAGCCCTTTGAATTAGCTCTAATTCTCATAAAGCTAACAGGCACTGTGTGAGAAATCTTATATTTTTTAACTATGTATTGTTCCAAAAAATGAGAATGAAATTGAAACATTTTTACTTTAGGAATTCTGTTTTTATATTGCATTCCTTTTGACTAGTTTAGGTCTAAATCGCACCACTAGATGGGAGTGTAGCTCATTGCTTAATGGTATATTTAAAGTAGCAATATGTAAGATGTTCATGTCAAGTCGTCATTAAAGGGCCCTAATCTGTCAAAAGGCAGTCTTTTCCAATACTTCTTTAACTGATAACAGTAGTTCAGAGATATTTGGATTTCAACATTTGTTTTACAGCCGCTCCCCCTTTTTATTGTTTTCATTTCAATGTCCCGCCCTGCACGGTTTAACCAATCAGAAAGTCACTGGTAAAGCATCATGTGGCCGCAGAACTAAAAAAGGTCTCTTTATGATTCTAAAGTCATTAATGACAAAACAAGGAATAAAACATGGATTTCTATCAATTTGTCTTTATATCTGGCAACCTGAGTCAGGGAGAGAGGGAGAGGTCGCAGAACCACTTTTTGCAAGATGTTTACTTATAACTCCTTTATTATAGTGTATTTTAGGTATATCCATGTATTCTCTATTCTCATTCATCATACTTGTTCTTTGAAGTAGATTTATCGAGTGTCTCCTTAAATATGAGCTGACCGTGAGTGTTGTGTTCCTCAGTTACATGGAGAACCAGGCTGGAGTGGAGAACGTTACAGACCAGGACCTCATCAACTTCAAGGAGCTGAGAAACCTGTGAGCAACACCTCCTCTGCACCTCCTCTGCACCTCCTTTGCACCCCCTCACTCCAACCTCTGTGCCAACCTCTCTGTGCTGACCTCTCTGTGCTAACCTCTGCTGACCCCTCTGTGCTGACCTCTCTGTGCTAACCCCTCTGTGCTGACCTCTGCTGACCCCTCTGTGCTGACCTCTGCTGACCTCTCTGTGCTGACCTTTCTGTGCTGATCTCTCTGTGGTGACCTCTCTGTGGTGACCTCTCTGTGGTGACCTCTCTGTGGTGACCTCTGCTGACCCCTCTGTGCTGACCTCTGCTGACCTCTCTGTGCTGACCTTTCTGTGCTGACCTCTCTGTGCTGACCTCTCTGTGCTGATCTCTCTGTGCTGATCTCTCTGTGCTGACCTCTCTGTGCTGATCTCTCTTGTGACATACTTTAGTATTTAGTATTTAGTATTTATTTGATCTCCATTAGTTGTAACAAGTACATCTATTCTTCCTGGAGTCAGTCCAGCATGCTGGTCACAAAACATGTTTTACACCAGTTTTCACCAACAAGTGATACAATAAAAGACACCCCCCACCCCCCCACACACACACACAACATACATTCTTACATACACACGCAACTGTACAAAGGACCTAGAAATATTCTGACAAAAAAACAAAAAAAGGAGATTAATCTGACTCTTAGCAGCAAAACATTTGGTCACATAACACAACTTTATAAAATCAACCAGTTACATGAAACAGATGTCTTTTCAGAAGGGCCTTAAATTGGTACTTACTGTTTGCATGAGTAATGTCACTGGGCAAAGTGTTCCAACCATACATGGCTCTATACATTACAGTATTTCTTCCATTGTTAGTTCTTACTTTGGGCAGTTTAAATCTGCCCTCTGTGGCATGTCTGGTTTCATAATGATGCTCTTCCAGACTAAAATTTAGCTCTCTGTACAATACATTTGGAACTTTACTTTGAATTATGTTTCTGGTTACATTCATTAAGGAACCAGTGAATCTCTCTTTCACCTTGAGCCAGGACAGTGTGTCATGCATCCAGTTTACATTTGTTCTGATGGAACACCGAAGAGCACAGAGAGCTGCTCTATTTTGGACAGTTTGTAAAGTCCTTACCTTTGTTACTGCAGCACATGACCATATGATTGAGCAGTAATCTAACTGTGACAATACCAGGGTTTTTAAAACATCTGCAGTCATACTGGAAGACAACATATGACAACATCTTCTAACCACAGCGAGGCCCCTCCCCATTCTACTGGCCACCGTATTGATATGCTTTGACCAAGACAACTCATTATCAAGTTCAATACCAAGCAGTCTGGTCTGTGGCACCTGCTCCACAGCTACGTCTCTGATGACAAGACTCAATTTGGGTTCATCCAGCAGCATATGTTTTGTTCCAAATACAATACTTTTTGTTTTGCTAATGTTCAGAACTAGCTTGTTGTTGGTAACCCACTCACACACTAATTTTAATTCCCCCCTTAAAATAATTTCCAGCTCTTCAACCGTATTTTGTGATGAATAAATGGTTGAGTCGTCGGCATACAATGCTATTTTTGATTTTTGTAGTACTAGTGGCAAGTCGTTTGTAAAAATAGAAAACAGGAGAGGTCCAAGGCAGCTTCCTTGAGGTATACCACAGCCAATTGTTTTTACGTCTGAGAAGCTTCCATTGAAAAATACAGTTTGCTTCCTGTTTTCTAAATACTTCTCAAGCCACAGTGATGCTGCTGGACTGAACCCATAACATTGCATTTTATTCAGCAGAAGGTTGTGATCTATAAGATCAAAAGCTGAGCTGAAATAAAGCAACAAAGCTCCTGCTAACCTTTTATTGTCTAATGCTGCCAACCAATCGTTTGTCATCTGAGCCATAGCTGTTGCAGTCGAGTGACCTGCTCTGTATGCATGTTGGAAATCTGTATTGAGGTTGTTATTAGAAAAATATTGTTGAATTTGATTCGTGATCAATACGTAATACGATTCGTGATCAATTTGATACGTAATGCGCCCGAGTGAGTGAGGCATTTAGCTTAGCGTTAGCCTAGCTTTAGCCATCTCCTTTGCCACTGACAGAGCCCATGGAGGGTAGAGCCTCAATATCTTTGGCAGCGATGAAATCTGCTAAACATTCCTCTTGCTCTAGCTTCAATTTCTTGATATTTGGAGCCGCACCAGAACGGATTATTTTACTATCGCATTTGCGGCCATTGCCAAACTTTGGCGCAAACTCTTGACGTCACCAACACCTACCTACAAAACCCACCGCCCCCGCGGCGCTGATTGGTCGGAGGGGATTCAACCCGAGGAAAGTGCAGCCACAGGGATCAGACCCAGACGTATGTAGGAAAGGATCGTTGACTGGAGTTTACGGATGCATATGGCCAGGAACAAATCACAGCTTCAGGTTCTTAGTTTAAGCTCGTGGGAGATCGTTGAACATCTCTCTTATTGAACGGTGAGAAATTGTTTAGATTAGAGACTGTTACTATCAATCTTCATTACTAAAGTAGTACCACTTTAGTTTTGGACATGTGAATCATACATTCATTTATGTAAATTATAAATCCTTTTAGGCAACAGTGGCTCAGTTGGTAGAGCATTGGTCTTTGAGCCTGAAGGTTGTGGGTTCAACTCCTACTGACGCCTGCTGTTATATATAAATTAGTAGTTTAGCCTGACCCTCAACCCGTGTCTTCCACAGAACCATCACCTTCTGCAAACTACGCTTCATCTCAGCCAACGCCTTCCGTGAAAACACCAAGCTGCAATATGTGTGAGTACACACACACACATACACACACACACACACACAAACATTGTTATTGCACCGGAATATTATTCCTTCTTTCTCTTTTCTTTCTTGGTGTCATTTTTCTCCTACCGAACTTTTAAGAAAATAACATTTGTTAAGCAAGTACAAAATCACCTCATGACCACAGCCACAAAACGCACAAAACAAAGTAAAACAGTAGAGGAGCTAAAACGCAAGCGGCAATGAACGGCCCTCGCCGCCAGACCATAACTCTGGTAAAAGTGTAAAATCACATCTATAGGAGCAGGATTTGAGGATCCATCATCAGTGCGTGGTGTTGATGATGTTAAAGGCTAAAGTCAGGAAAACACACCCCCAGCCCTTCTGTCTAAATGTTACTTCTCTAAACTGGTGCAGGGAGAGATTCTAGTATCACACCAGATAATATCGTGTTGGAGTTATTTCCCTAACTCCAACACAATAAGAAAATAAAAAATAAGTCTGGTTTGTTCTTTGCTCCATTAGTCTTGTTAGTACATAGTGCAATACTATACACAGTACAATACTATAGGTACACAATACAATACTACGTACACAAAACAATACAAAACATAAAAGTATCACCACACGCTCCTCTGGACTTTCTTCTGTGTCCAGTTTCCTCCTCACAGTCACCGGGTTTGAAGCAGATTATGGATTTATCTTATTTTATGTTTGACAGAAATCTGGCGTCCAACCTTCTGGAGCACATCAGCTGGAAGGTCTTCCACTTCCTGCCTCTGCTCAGTCTGTGAGTACTTTTACTTCAAATTAATAATAGTTATTGTCTTAACAGCGGTGTCAACTCAGTTCCAGAAAGCTGCAGGTCTTCATTCCAACAGCAGGAGCAGTTCTTCTATTTCAATTCAATTCAATGTATTCTTGTAGGACTTAACCAAACCGTTAAAATCGTTCACACAGATCAAGGTCAGACTGGACTCACCAGAGGAAATGGAGTGTGCTCCTGTTGTTGGACTGAACACCAGCAGCCGCACTGAGACCCCTGGTCTTGGTCCTGTCTGAAATCTTTTCAAACCAATTCCTTGTTTTGTTAGATGAGCATCAAAGACATAGTCACAAATGGATCAAAGTCTAAAAATCTGTGTGCGTCACACATCTGTGTATGTCACACATCTCTGTGCGTCACACATCTGTGTGCGTCACACATTTGTGTACGGCACACATCTTTGCTCCAGCGTTAGCGAACACTGCGCCTCCGACACGGAGCGACTCTGCTTTGAAGTCTCTGTGTTTTTTGTGTTTATCGATAAACTGACACAGATCATGACACGTGTAAGAGCAGGATCAGATGACGGTGCTGTCTCCACAGGGTTGAGTGTGTCACATGGTGCTGTCTCCTCAGTGTGTCACATGGTGCTGTCTCCTCAGTGTGTCACATGGTTCTCTCTCCTCAGTGTGTCACATGGTGCTGTCTCCTCAGTGTGTCACATGGGGCTGTCTCCTCAGTGTGTCACATGGTGCTGTCTCCTCAGGGTGTCACATGGTGCTGTCTCCACAGGGTTGAGTGTGTCACATGATGCTGTCTCCTCAGTGTGTCACATGGTGCTGTCTCCTCAGGGTGTCACATGGTGCTGTCTCCTCAGTGTGTCACATGGTTCTGTCTCCTCAGTGTGTCACATGGTGTTATCTCTTCAGTGTGTCACATGGTGCTGTCTCTTCAGTGTGTCACATGGTGCTGTCTCCTCAGTGTGTCACATGGTGCTGTCTCCTCAGTGTGTCACATTGTGCTGTCTCCTCAGTGTGTCACATGGTGTTATCTCGTCAGTGTGTCACATGGTGCTGTCTCTTCAGTGTGTCACATGGTGCTGTCTCTTCAGTGTGTCACATGGTGCTGTCTCCTCAGTCTGTCACATGGTGCTGTCTCCTCAGTGTGTCACATGGTGTTATCTCTTCAGTGTGTCACATGGTGCTGTCTCTTCAGTGTGTCACATGGTGCTGTCTCCTCAGTGTGTCACATGGTGCTGTCTCCTCAGTGTGTCACATTGTGTTGTCTCCTCAGTGTGTCACATGGTCCTGTCTCCTCAGTGTGTCACATGGTGTTGTCTCCTCAGTGTGTCACATGGTGTTGTCTCCTCAGTGTGTCACATGGTGTTGTCTCCTCAGTGTGTCACATGGTTCCGTCTCCTCAGTGTGTCACATGGTTCTGTCTCCTCAGGGTTCTCCGGGACAACCCTCTGCTCTGCTCCTGTGAGCTGCACTGGCTGCAGCAGTGGCAGAGCAGCTCTAGAGCTGAGCTGGACTCACAGCTCTCCTGTCTCCAGGCTCAGCAGGAGGTGCCCCTCAGCTCCCTGCTCCTCCCCAACTGCAGTGAGTCACTCTCACCACATGCACACATGGTCCAACACAATGTGGACATACCAGACTGTAGCCTTCTATTGCCCACGTCATTCTTTCTATTCAATTCATACATTCACGGCCTTGGTGTTTCAGCGGGGGTTTCGGGCAAAGTGGGGTTAAGTGTCCTGCCAAAGGACACAACAAAAGCAGACTTCAGTAGGAGCAGTTGGAGAAGGTGTTGTGGGGGGATCGAACCCACAACCCTCAGGCCCAAAGACCAACTGAGCCTCTGTCGCCCCAATTCATTTCAGTTTATGTTTGTATTGCCCTAAATCACAGCGGCAGTCGACTTCACAGAGAATCCAACAGTTTGAACCCAGGAAATGCAATAATAACAAACACATAAGAGCCATTGGTCCACAGACAGCGGGACGACCACTGTCCACACATGTCCTTAAAGGTCCAGGATCATCACTGTCCTTAGACCCTTCTTCATCTCAAAAAACCCTGAGGAAGAAAAGTGAGAAACCTCAGGACACCCATATTGAGGGAGACTCATGTGGAAGGGTTTTTAGACTTAAGGTTGTATTTCTAAGTCTTAGCTGAGAATTACCTACCAAACCATTGCTGAAGTAAAGAGGACTGTTTTGATCCCGGCTACAGACCCTTAATTCTGGATTTTAAAGTGAAGGAAAACAGAAACGTGCATGTGGTCAGATGTTGGTGGGATGGGAACAGAGCAGGTGGGTGTCAGGCATGTGCCGGAAGTGGGAAACTCAGTTATTTGGACCCAGTTTAAAATGTAGACCACTAAAAGCATGTTAAAAAAATATTTATATTTCATAAAAACAAATAAAAGCGATAAAAGTTAAAACAGGGCTAAAAGCTAAAACAGGCTAAAATCATTGGAGAAAAAAAACGCTACGTTTATTCCACCCTTCGGCTTCCTCTTTCCCCTCACCATCGCCGCCTTTTGTACCCAATGCTAACATATAGCATTGGCAAACCTCTCGAAAACACCTTTACGGATGGTCCAAAAGCTGGCTCTTGGCCCAAAGCTCCGTCCCACATGTGTGTCAATGCTGAGGGGGGTGTTTTGGACCAGTCTAGTTTAGTCTCTGTGAATTTTTGAAGTCACTCGTTTAAATGAATGGAGCTCGTGCTGGCTGATGCATGCACAGATGCATTTTTTTCACATTTTCCAGCCCCCGTGGCCATTTTGAATCACTCCATGAAAGCCCAATTTTTGGCCCGTTAGTTAGAACGGCGGAGATAGGCATGACAACGTCCGTTAATATATACAGTCTATGTTAAAAACACATCAAACCTTCTTAAAACCCACGCCCCTTTTGCGCCCACTGACACTTGTGTCTGCCCTCAGCTCTCCCGGAGGTCACCATCCTCCCGGCCAACACTCGGGTGCAGGAGGGGGGTAACCTCACCTTCGAGTGTCACGTGACCGGCAGCCCTACCCCCCAGGCCCGATGGAGGACGGAGCACCTGCAGTCGCCGTTCACCACACAGGTCAGTACAGTTTTGTTTTGTCTCACCAACAAAACTCAGCACTATGTAAAAATGTGCCTGAAACATACAGTATATGTCCACATGGTCTGGGAGTGTCCAGGGTTTGCTCACGTCATCCCTGGTCCCCTGCTCTCCCCTGGTCCCCTGCTTTCCCCTGGTCCCCTGCTCTCCCCTGGTCCCCTGCTCTCCCCTGGTCCCCTGCTCTCCCCTGGTCCCCTGCTCTCCCCTGGTCCTTCCTCTCCCGTAGTCCTGTGATCTCTCCTGGTCCCCTGCTCTCCCCTGGTCCCTTGCTCTCCCCTGGTCCTTCATTGTCCATTGTCTGTCCGTCTGTATACTGTATGTCTAACGGTCCAGAACTGTGGACTAACTTCACTGTTTATTTGAATTTTGATTTCATCTTGAATTAGGCAGGTTATTCGTGTTTGATGTTGTGTGTCCTGGACCAGGGGTGGGCAATATGGATAAAATGAATATCTCGATATTTTTTTTCCAACTCCCAATAACGATATTGTCACAATATCTTTAAAATCAATCATTTTTACACAAAATGATCTGAAATGTTTTTCTTGCCAGGGCACCTATAGAAAGAGACAGTGTAGATCAAAATAGAAGCTTTTTATTTGTAAAGAGCTTCACACATCTTTGCAAAACATGCACAAACATACAGTGCCTTGCGAAAGTATTCGGCCCCCTTGAACCTTTCAACATTTCGCCACATTTCAGGCTTCAAACATAAAGATATAAAAATTAAATTCTTTGTTAAGAATCAACAACAAGTGGGACACAATCGTGAAGTGGAACGAAATTTATTGGATATTTTAAACTTTTTTAACAAATAAAAAACTGAAAAGGGGGGCGTGCAATATTATTCGGCCCCCTTGCGCTAATACTTTGTAGCGCCACCTTTTGCTGCAATTACAGCTGCAAGTCGCTTGGGGTATGTCTCTATCAGTTTTGCACATCAAGAGACTGGAATTCTTGCCCAGTCTTCCTTGCAAAACAGCTCGAGCTCAGTGAGGTTGGATGGAGAGCGTTTGTGAACAGCAGTCTTCAGCTCTTTCCACAGATTCTCGATTGGATTCAGGTCTGGACTTTGACTTGGCCATTCTAACACCTGGATACGTCTATTTGTGAACCATTCCATTGTCCATCTATCCATCTATCTTCCCATCAATTTTAGCCATCTTCCCTGTCCCTGCTGAAGAAAAGCAGGCCCAAAGCATGATGCTGCCACCACCATGTTTGACAGTGGGGATGGTGTGTTCAGGGTGATGAGCTGTGTTGCTTTTACGCCAAACATATCGTTTTGCATTGTGGCCAAAAAGTTCGATTTTGGTTTCATCTGACCAGAGCACCTTCTTCCACATGTTTGGTGTGTCTCCCAGGTGGCTTGTGGCAAACTTTAAACAAGACTTTTTATGGATATCTTTGAGAAATGGCTTTCTTCTTGCCACTCTTCCATAAAGGCCAGATTTGTGCAGTGCACGACTGATTGTTGTCCTATGGACAGACTCTCCCACCTCAGCTGTAGTTATCTGCAGTTCATCCAGAGTGATCATGGGCCTCTTGGCTGCATCTCTGATCAGTCTTCTCCTTGTTTGAGATGAAAGTTTGGAGGGACGGCCGGGTCTTGGTAGATTTGCAGTGGTCTGACACTCCTTCCATTTCAATATAATTGCTTGCACAGTGCTCCTTGAGATGTTTAAAGCTTCTGAAATCTTTTTGTATCCAAATCCTGGCTGGTGTGTTCCTTTGTCTTCATGGTTCTCTCTGCGCTTTAAACAGAACCCTGAGACTATCAAAGAGCAGGTGCATTTATACGGAGACTTGATTACACACAGGTGCATTCTATTTATCATCATCAGTCATTTAGGACAACATTGGATCATTCAAAGATCCTCACTGAACTTCTGGAGTGGGTTTGCTGCACTGAAAGTAAAGGGGCCGAATAATATTGCACGCCCCACTTTTCAGGTTTTTATTTGTTTTAAAAAGTTTAAATTATCCAATACATTTCGTTCCACTTCACGATTGTGTCCCACTTGTTGTTGATTCATGACAAAAAATTAAAATTTTATATCTTTATGTTTGAAGCCTGAAATGTGGCGAAATGTTGAAAGGTTCAAGGGGGCCGAATACTTTCGCAAGGCACACTTTAGACCAAATGGGCATCTGTCCTTCTCTAATTGTAATATGTATGTAAAAAGAAAAAGGACGATAATACAAAAAAGCATATCTTCAAATTGACTTTCACGATATTATTGTCTACGATATATTTTGCTCACTGTGTGTGTGTGTGTGCTCGGTTTTTGAAAAAAAAAAAAAGTATTAAAAGGTACAGAAAACCTGCTTTAGACACAATAACACAGCCTCTACAACACGACCAGAGCAGACTTTAGTTCACCAGACTTTGGTTCACCAGACTTTATATCACCAGACTTTAGTTCACCAGACTTTATATCACCAGACTTTAGTTCACCAGAGGGGCCGACAACCCAGATGCAAAACTGTTTTGATTGTATTCGAGCTGTTCTGAGGTTTAAAATGGGCTATGACATTACTGTATTGATTTAGATTTGGTTCCCTGTCTCCTGTCCTTGTCCCTGTCCTCTGTCCCTTTGCCCTGTCCCTGTCCTGCAGAAGAGGATCTGGGGGTCCACCATGGAGCATGTCCTGTATCTGACCAACGTGTCGTCTGCTGACAACCTGCACAACCTGACCTGCGAGGCAGAGAACCAGGCGGGACCGGACTCCGGCTCTGTGCCTCTGGACATTCAATGTAAGTGAGCGTTGAACCAGGACTGGAAGAGGACTGAACAGGGACTGGACCAGGACCGGACCAGGAGTGAACAAGGACTGGACCAATGTTAACCCACAAGTTGAGAACTGTTTACTTTTACTCAGACAAAGTGTGCAGTTCCTTGCAGTGGATGAAGTGTAGATGCAGTTGGTGTAAAGTTGGAACGAAACAGATCCAAACCTGTCCGAGTTGGGCCATGTAGACGTAACAAAGAGACACTGTGGCGAGCACCAACCCTCGACAAGAAGGTCCAAGCTTTGACTCTCTGCCTCACTGTGTGTGGCTGGAGGTGGAGATGGGGATCGTCAAAGCAAGGGTGCCTTTAACGCAGGAGAATATCAGAATCAGAATCGTTTTTATTGCCATGTAAAGCCTGGTTCACACGGCAGGATAATTAGGCCAAGATTGTTTGTGAAGAGGATGCTTGATCTCGAGAGATTTTGTGAGATTTCTGTCTGACTTGGGAAGGCTCGGGGGGAAATCAGTTTGTGTGTGGTTTGCGTGAACTTGCCGTGTGGCTGCACACCACACACTGTACGACCAAAGTGGTTAGACCCTTGATTTTTTATCTCTGTGTGTGGGGTCAATGGGCCTCATTCACGAACGGTTCTTAGGAACAGATTTGTACGTAAATCCTACTTACGAGGTTTTTACGAAGAAAGTGGCATTCACGAATTTTTCTCGTAACCAGAATTTCTCTTGGGCAAGTACAAATCCTACGAGTCCTCAGGAGCACTCGTACGCATTCAGTGCCGACATGTTCACACGCCGGGGTTGTCCTCTTTGGTGAAGTTGAATAAAAATACAACATTCCAGTGATATGTCCGTCATATTGATGTATGTATTTATTTATTTGTAGTAATCTTTAGTAGTAATCTTTATTTATATACCGCCTTTTTCACTGCAGATCTGGCCTACTTTTTAATTCATTTTGAAATGAAATGTGCCAACGCTTTATCTTGCCGTGTATTAGTGACCCCTTCCTCTTTATAGGGGGCATTTCTTTATCCACGGGCCACAGAACAACGGCATATATACTGCTGCTGCAGGAGGTTACGGGGTCCGCGCTGAGTCTCTGCGCTGGTCTCTCCTATGGATCTATACGGGTCTGCACTGGTGTCTCCCATGGATCTATACGGGTCTGCACTGGTCTCTCCCATGGATCTATACAGGTCTGCGCTGGTGTCTCCCATGGATCTATACAGGTCTGCGTTGGTGTCTCCCATGGATCTATACGGGTCTGCGCTGGTGTCTCCCATGGATCTATACGGGTCTGCGCTGGTGTCTCCCATGGATCTATACGGGTCTGCGCTGGTGTCTCCCATGGATCTATACGGGTCTGCACTGGTCTCTCCCATGTATCTATACGGGTCTGCACTGGTCTCTCCCATGGATCTAGACGGGTCTGCACTGGTCTCTCCCATGGCTCTAGACGGGTCTGCACTGGTCTCTCCATACGGGTCCGTGCTGCATGCTCCTGGATCCATACGGGTCCGCGCTGGTCTCTCAAGTCTGGTCTATGCGGTCTCTCTTCGGTCCGCGCTGGTCTCTGTGCACCGGTCTCTCCAGTCAGGTCACTACAGTCTATGCGGTCTCTCCTGTCCGCGCTGGTTTCTGTGTGCTGGTCACTCCAGTCTCTCCTCGGGTCTGCATTGGTCTCAGCGCTGGTCCGCGCTGGATCTCCTCCCAGGGTCCAAAATATTTTGAGATCAATCTCAAAACATTTTGAGATTCATCTTTAAAATAATACATAATATATTTTTGAATTAAGCTCATAACATTTTGAGATTAATCCCATCATATTCTTAGATTAATCTCATAATTTTGCTAGTTCGACTTTATTCTCATAATATTTCGACTTTTAAGTCGACATTTTATAACTTTATTCTCAGTCTGGCAAAAGAAGAAAAAAGGGTGACTCTTTTGCTCCGTGTAACTCTTTGCTTTAGGGCTGTTGCTGTTTCCTCTGCCGTCTGCACACGACCCTGCAGTCCCTTATATGGGCATTAATGGGCGGTTACCTATGCTAAGTACCTATGCTAATGAATCACCGGGCACGCGCGCTCTACTTACGAGGAAATGGCATTCATCAATCTAAGAGAACAGCTGCGAACAATTCAGCGCCTTACGAGCGCGTTGATGAATCCCACGTAGGCTCTTGAGAAGAAATTTAAGAAGTTTCTTACGAAGTTATTCGTGAATGGGGCCCATTGAAGTTTGGAAAATCGGCCGACAATTTTAAAATCGTCTTGTGTGAACCAGGCTTTAGTAACAGGAAGTCACCTGCTAGGATGTAAAAAAAGAAAATGATAAATCCAATGTCATATGGAATCTTGAGTGATTCTATCCAGGCCAGATGTGACATGTACATTTCTCCTGTGTGAGATCAAGTCTATCTTATCTTATCTTTAAAATATGAGAGTTTCACGTTTTAAGCCTGGCCTTGAATGTAGAGACTGTCTGCTTCATTGATGTGGATGGGGAGCTGATTCTGCTACTGCGCTTTTGGAACTATAGGAACCAGCGACGTCTGGCGTTTTTGCGAGCACAGGAAGGCAGTGAAGTAACTTTAACACTGGAGTTATGTGTTCCCTGTCTGTTGCCTGTTCAGATGCTTGCTGCTGTATTTTGAACGAGTTTGGAAGCTTTTTATAGAGGATTTAGGGCACGCTACCAGCAGGGGGCGCTGCAGTAGTCAGGCCTTGAGGAGACAAATGCACGGATATGTTTTTCTGCGTCACTTCTATGTATATATAGTCTAATTTGACGACTGTTGCGCAGGTGGAAATAAGTGGTTTTAGTTGCTTTGTTTAGACATGCTCTGAAGGAGTGTTCTTAGCTAAATTTACTCAGGATTTCTTGCAGTGTTGCTAGGAACTATTACGCTGACATTCTGATTATGACTATCTGATCACACTGAGACGTATAAGTCAAAGTACTAGGTTGTTTTGAAGGTTAAGGAGCAGGTACTTTCAGTTTGGTACAACACAGCAGCAGCCGGTGTTCCCAGAGGTCTCCCATCTCACTACTAGACAGGCTTTGCCCTATTAGCTTCTCAGGTCTGCTCGGCTCAGACTTTCACATTCAGGTGGAGCCACAGGTCAAACCAGATATTATGAATTTCATTAAAGCTAGGGTACCTAACTTCCAAACCACAGACGATGGACGCAGGCTCATAAATAGTTTTATCACATCAATCAGCTTTTTCAGACAGAAAAGTAAAAAAAAAAAAAAAAAAAGACCACACTCACTCAGCTCTTAATTAAAAATAGAAAGTAGAAATATATAAATGATGAGACAAAATGGTCAGGTGTCTCTTCTTTAATACTTCCAAGCAGCAGGTGACACTGGAGGCCGAACGCTTCTGCCTCAGACTGTAGTTTGTGGAGGGCCCCTGAGGAGGCTCTGTTGTTTTCTCACAGATGCATTAGTGAGATAGTGGGGGCCCCTCCTGAACGGCCCCAGCCAAACACACCCATACATTAGAGGTCCCAAACAATCACATCTGTCGTGAGTAAACAAGGCCCACACTGAGCACGAGCGCCATGGGGCCCATCGCTGCCATAACTGCTGATGAGATTTGAGCTGCGCTAATGGAGGCCTCCCACTCCGGAAACACTGCTTATCCGCCGCACTGACTCTGTAAACATGTTAGTGCAGTAATCTAAGAGGCCCACACACTCCTTAACCTCCCCTTTAATTACTCCTAATGAGCTCTGAGCGGCAGACTGTCAGCAGGACAACAGAGGGAAAGGTCGGAGTGTTGTTTGAACCCGTGTCGACTTTTTGCCACGGGGAAGACGGGAATGTGTCAAAGTGAAAGGTTCAAAAGAAACTTCCCACTTTCAATGTATTCAATTAAATTTATTCTTGCATAGCCCTAAATCACAGCAGCAGTTATCTCACAGGACTATGAAATCTGTTGAAAATCACCAACACAGACCAAAGAATCAACAGTTAAGACACAAACATATAGAACACATGTGTATTGGTCCATAGGGAGAGACCAATGTCTGTGAATGTTGATAAATGTCCATAAATGTTGTAGAATGTTAAAGTGTCCTGGATCTTCACCACAGTCCTTCTTGACACGGTCAGACCCTCCTGTCTCTGGGAGCAGATTCTCATTATTTTATAATGTTGTACTATGGTAAGTTTCTTATCCACATGAAACAATACTAACACTTCTAAATATATATTTTTTTATTAATTCTATTAAACTAATTCCATTTGCTAAAACAGATCAGAGAATCAAAATGAAACGCAACGATAACAAACACATAGAGCCGTCATCATCACTGTCCTCAGAGCCTCCTGAATCAGAGAGGAAGAATCCTTAAAATCCAGTGGGAGAAAAGAGAGAAATCTCTCAACATTGAGAGGGATCAATCTATTAAGGATCTGCTTCCACGGGCAGATGGACTGAGGCTGTAGATCCAGGACTGAGACTGTAGATCCAGGACTGAGGCGGTTCCTAGGCGGGGAGGGGGTGAAGCCCCCACGGCCCACATTTTGTGTTGTCTGGTGAGATCCTTCTTCCCCTGAACCACATTTCTGAGCCACACTGGCCACTCGGGGTTCACCACCGAGTCAGCAAAGTCTGAAGGAGCCTCCCCAGTCTGTCACTGACGCTTCTCTCCAGGGTAGACAGTGTCCTGCAGGGGACAACAGTCATGGTCCACATAGATGTTAGTTTGTCCAGGACCCTCCTGTCCCCACCTGCTGTGTCCAGGGAACAGCCCAGCCCCATGCTTCCGGGAGCTGAGTGCTCTGAGGGGGCTTTCAGGTACGACTGTGGTCGACCCATGGACCCTCAGCCGCATCCATAATTCATCTGCAGGTCCCGAGGCACATCTGCCTCCTCCACGGAAACTACTGAGCAGCCGGGAACACTGCACACATACAGACGCACACACACACACCCAGACACACACACATACACACACACACACACACATACAGACGCACACACACATTCAGACGTGTTGTAAGTGGAAAAGTCTTACAGTAGTTTTCTTCAAATAAAGTTGACAATCCTTCATTACTTCTGGACCTCAGTCTGTGTTATCTGATGATCCCAGCATTTCCTTGAGGCTAAATGTACTTTTAGTGATTTGGATTCATTAAACTGGGGGCTGAGAATATTGCACTGGTTTGAAGACATTTCTGACATAACGAGAACGTTAGCTTACCCATGGCCATGGCCGGGTGGCGAGGGCAGCAGTCTGAGCAGAGGCATTGACCTTTCCAAATCCTGCAGCTGGGTCTTTCCTAGAGCGTCCTCTTCGGGAAACATCAGCCTCAGCTCCACCGTTTCCTAAAGTTCATAACCACAGGTTGTCTGGTACAGCTCCCACATTGCTGCAGAGGCTACACCGACCGCCGTTATAACCAGAGCTCTGCTGTGCACCTCTGCACCTAAAACCGGGACCAGGACCTCTACACCTGAGGACCGGGACCAGGATTTGGAGAGTGCTCTCTCTGACAAAAACCCTCAACTCAGGTTTTGGGAAATTGAAGGCACTTTAATTCATAGAAGAAACTATCCAGGACTCAAGAGATAGGATTTTACATGATTGGTCTTCTGTGCACTAACATGTGTGTGTTTTTGTTGGTGTCTCTCTGTGTGTGTGTGTGTGTGTGAATGTCTGTGTGTGTCTCTGTGTGTGTGTGTCCTCAGTCCCCGCCCGGATCCTCTTCCTGAAGGACGCGGTGCCCATGCATCACTGGTGCTTCCCGTTCGCGGTGGACGGGAACCCGGAGCCCAGCATCTCATGGCTACGTGACGGGAAGCCACTGCGCGAGAGTCTGTTCGCTTACACCGAGATCATCAGCGACGCCAGAGACGGCTCCGAGAAGCACGGCTGCCTCTACCTCAACAAACCCACTCACATCAACAACGGCCTCTACACGCTCACCGTCACCAACCGCCTCGGCACCGACCACGCCAACGCCACCGGCAGCTTCATGAACAACCCCTTCGAGCCCTTTGATCCAGAGGGCATCATACCAGGTAGATGAGTGACAGATAGATAGTTAGATTTAGTAGATAGATAGATATAGACCGATAGATACAGTAGATAGATGGATAGATACTGTTGGAGAAATTCAGGTGTCCAGCGGCAGAAGACTCATCCAGGTTTGTTGTACAGTCTGACAGCCGAAGGAACAAATGATCTCTTAAAACGTTGATATAAGCCTGTTTACCGACAAGATAAGATAAGATAGACTTTATTGATCTCACACAGGAGAAATGTACATATCACATCTGGCATGGATAGAGTAACTCAGATTGTGCAAAAGACAGAAATGTACAAACATGTTAGATGCTGGATATATAATGTACAATAGAAAGTGGCAATTAAAAAGTGTAGATAGATAGATAAGAAGATAAAGATTGATAGATAAACAAATAAATAAATACTTCTAAAAGTAAAAGTGGCTAACAATAGCAATAAGTTGCAGCAGTAGCAGAGGTGGTTGATGTCTGCATAGTCTGCTTGGTTCAGACCATTTTCTCTGCTCTGGTTCAGAGTGAAATTCTGAATGCATTATTAGTATAAACACAAGAGGAGTGAGTGCATACGGAGATCAAAATAAAATAATGCAGGGTAAACGTGGGAGTCAGGTGCTCTTCGAGGATCCGTGGGATGATAATGTAGAATGCAAAGAGGAAAGATCCGAGGCACTCTGACTTATCTTAAAAATCCATTATTGTAGAAGGGACATACTTGAGAGCCCGCTCGGAGCTCGCCACACCGAAGAAGTGAAATGAACGATAAGAGTAGTGGTCTTTCACCGGCGGCTGAGGTCTCCCACTTATTCTACACCTCCCATGTCCCAATATAATAGAATTCCTCCAGTGGATTTCCTCTGATCTGTTTGTTGGGACCATCGTCTCTGCTCTGGTCTGGATCAGTGTAAAACCATGAACACTGAACTGCAGTAACATTTACGGGTAGAAAAAATAATCCTTTGTGTTCAAAAGTATATGAAAAGTGCAGCATAAAACATCAATCAGAAGCTGGAAAGTGGTTAAACAGTGGTTAAAATCCAACGATAATATCATGAACTCAGAGTGTGACGTCTGTTCTCTGTACCTCATGCTAGTCCCTGATGTCGTCCCAAGTAAGTGTCATCTCTGGCCCCTCAACCCTGTACTCCACCTCAGATCCTCCCCCTCTAACCCTGTCCACCCCTTTGCCCCCTCCCATCCTACCTACTATGTGCCCCCTCCTCAAACCCTGTGCCCTGCCTCCCCCTCAGTCCCCCTTGTCTAACCCTGTGCCCCCCTCTCAGCTCCCACCAAGAAGACAGCGCTGGCGGTGGCGGAGAACCTGGAGAGTCGTGTCTTTGTGGTACGCTACTGTACACTGTGCAATATGACATTACGATGACTTTTTTTTTTTATACAAAAAACTTCATTAAAAAGTAATTAAATTATGTATCTATCATGTGTAAAGCATGACCCTGATCACTGAAACACTCCCATCTACTGGTACAAGTGGAAATGACATTCTGCAATTATAATAAAACGTCTTAAAGGGTGTCTTCTGAATAATATAAAAAATATAATTCAAAGGATTTGTCATGTGTAAAGAGTGTGAAAACAAACTCAGATAGAAGTGTGGGAGAAAACGTTCCGGATATAATGGAAGAATTTTTAAATGTATCTGAGACATCTTCAAAAGAATCAAATAGAAATAAGAATCAGTCATTTCAAAGAAAATCAAATCAATTCAAATGTAAAAGGTGTATTCTTTTTTCTTATGTTTAAGATTCTTTTGATAAGACAAAAGTGTAAAGAAGCTATAGTTCTGCTTAATTACCACATGTTTCGGAACGACTCAACAAGATCAACCAAGGACAAGGCAACACAGGAAAACCTCCAATCGGCAACATTCGACCACTGCAGAAGAAAACAGATAACGGACTGGGACGATGGAACAATAGAAGGAAAAGAAGAACACAAATGCAAAAGGTGGAGACGAGAGGCTGGAGCACGGAGCATGAACGGAGACGAGGGGGCCTTCACCTTAGCTCACACCTGGGACTCACTTGTCCAGAGACCACAGGGGGGCGTGGTCAGCCTGAGGGGGCGTGGTCACAGCCAGGTCACTCAGCAGTACGAGCTTCTTTACATCTTTGTCTTATTGAAAGAACCTTCTGAGCATGAAACTGTTAGTCTGACCTGTGTGAGAAACGCTCAATGTGTCTGTCCCTGTGTCTGTCCCTGTCCCTGTGTCTGTCCCTGTTTCTGTCCCTGTCTATCCCTGTGTAGGTGTCGGTGGCCGTGGGGCTGGCTCTCTTCGCCTGTGCCTTCCTCCTGCTCATCCTGGTCGTCGTCAACAAATGTGGACATCAGCCCAAGTTTGGCATTCACCGTATGTCTCCCACACCGACAGTCTCTGCTGAGGCCACTGCCCACACTGATCACAGATGAACAGGTTTATTAGGGATTTAAATGGACAATTCCACGTATTTTCAAGTAATTATAGAGAGACTCACTTTGAATTTTGCCACTACATTCACATCTGTTATTTCACTTAAAGGTACAATATGTAAAAAACTGGCCAAAAGTGCTACTGCAACCTCTCCCACCAACACCTTTTTCACAAAGTCCCCGATAGAGATTCTCTTTTTTATCCTTGTTTTGTTATTAATGATTTGATAATCGTAAATAGTTCTGCGGCCACATGTTACTTTACCGGTGAGATTAACTCAATGCGGTGAGGTCTGGAAACCCGGATCATAGACTTTCTGATTGGTAAAACGGTGGAGGGCGGGACATCGAAATTAAAACAACTCTCAGTCAGTAAACTCTCAGTCATACTGGGATTAGTCAAAGTAAAGGAAGGTTTCTCACCCATCATCTGTACTTCTAAGCAGGTTTTCCTGACATTTCGTCCTTAATCCAAAGAACTTATTCAAGAGAATGGAATCTCAGACCAATCAGATTTAGGGGCTGTAAAAACTAATTTTGAACCTCAAATATCTCTGAACTACTTTTATCAGTTAAAGAAGTATTTGAAAAGACCATGCTTTACTTATGCTTATTGATAGATTGGTGCCCTTTAATGATGACTTGACGTGAAAATCTTACATATTGCAACTTTAGGTATGAAACTTCAGGCTGTGCTTTTTGTACCTTGAGGAATTTATAGAACATATTTTTTGTTTCTGTTCGTTCTCTCGTACATTTTGGAGTGACTAAAAATGTGTTTATAAAAATGTTGGATATCTACATTGTTGAATGATGTCTGATTTTTATTTTGCTAATAACAGTTCTAAAAGCCACACACCTCATACACTGCCGTAAATGAGAAACACTTCGCCGTTGGATTGTATACAAAAACTTCTTTCAGAGTATATGCACATGTATCCTCAGTCCTTGTGAGACTTTGCCAGGTCGGACTATTCTGCCCACTGGAAAATCTTGTTCTAAGACAAATTCACTCAAGTCTAGATAAATGTATCTCATTCACTAGATGTTATTTTCATTTAACTTTTTTTGCTCTGTTTACAAACACCCATGGTTCAGACTGATCCCTCACAGATGCTAAAGAGTGAGTTCACTGTGAAAACCAGGGATGGAGGTCTGTACTGTCAATGCTGTAGTGTAGTGTAGGCAGTGGGGTGCGGGTCCCGGCTCAAAAGTGGCCAAATTGACATGCGCTGACATGCTTGCAATACCACCCCGGGCTGATGGGGGTGGACCCGGAATAAGAATTAGCCAATGCTAACAAATAGCATCTTCTTACCTCTCGAAAACGTCTTTGCAGGATGGTCCAAAAGTTGGCTCTTGGCCCGAAGCTCCGTTCCGTGTCTGAGGGGAATGAATTTTTTTAGACCACTCTAGTTTACTTGCTCATTTGTTTAAATGAATGGGCCTCGTGTCGGCTGACGCATGCGCAGATGCAATTTTTCACATTTTCCAACCGTACCCCATGAAAACCCAATTTTTGGCCCATTAGTTAGAACGGCGGAGATAGGCTTGACTACGTCCGTTAATATTTTCAGTCTATGAGTGTAGAGTAGTGTAGTGTAGTGTAGCGTGTAGTGTAGTGTATAGTGTAGTGTTGTGTGTAGTGTAGGGTAGTGTAGTGTAGCGTGTAGTGTAGTGTAGTGTTGTGTGTAGTGTAGGGTAGTGAAGTGTAGCGTGTAGTGTAGTGTAGTGTATAGTGTAGTGTTGTGTGTAGTGTAGGGTAGTGTAGTGTAGCGTGTCCTCAGGGAGACATGTCCCAGTTTTGCTGGGGGCCTTGTGCCTGATGAAAAGTGTCTAAATTGTGGTGTTTTCATCAGGATGCCCTCCCCTGGGGCTCCTCACACAGGAGCAGAGGGTGATTACTGCTGTAGCCTGGGTGGCGGCCCATTAGACGGGCGGGGCAGATGGATGGAGGACCATGATTGATGGAAAGAGCTCGGTGTTTACAGCTCTGCTCTAAGTGCCTCTGATAGAGTGTGCTCTCATCATGCGCCTCTTTGTTGTTCCACTGTGCGGCAGGGGCCCTCAGGGGCTTCAGGGGCCTGTGGTCGGCTCGCTGAGTGGACCGTTACCATTTGCCAGGGCTCTCTGGGCTTTTTATCGGCCCAGGCTAACCACTCTGGAGTCTGTGCTGAGGCTGAGGTGCAGCTCTACATTGTTCTGACCTGCTGCTGCCTGTGAGGACCAGTGCTTCTCAAACTGGGGTCCAGGAACACCTGCTCCATAGCTCATGTGTAGAGTTTGAGTTTCTAAACATGCAGATTGTAGAGGAGGCAAATGTCTGGATTTAACTGTCTTATGACCTGAAATTGGACAACTCACTCACTTATCATTGAAGGTTTACTTGTTGGTTCTGTGACTGGGTGGTTTGGCACGATCAGAGAAAGAGTGACTAGAGAATGAGGCCAGAGAGAGACCAGAGAGAGGTTCTCCGCTCTGAAAGAGAACTGAGAGCTGTCTGTTCTGGAGGTTCTTTATGAATCAGATCTTAGAATTATCAAAGACTCTTCTGACCCCATTGAAAAGCCATGTTCCAGCTTCCACCCCTCTAGCAGAAGATAGTGTTGGTTGCAGGACATCTGGATATGCTAGCATGCTAACAGCTTCTTTCAGCAGGAAACATGAATGTCACAAACCTACACCTCAAATTTGGCTAAATGTATCTAAACTCATCGTCTGCCAGCCGTTTTTGATGACTCTCAAGACCGACAGAATATTATGTGCTAGGACTATGTGAAATATTAGCTATTTTTGTTGTCGTGCAATCCCCAGTCGAATAGAGGGATGTTTGACAGAAATCACTGGTCTCAGACAAATATGTCAATGGCAGTCAATGAGTTAATTGCCTTAAAACCAGATTTGCCAATGAGACAGGAACAATGATCTTGTTTTAAAAGATAAATTAAATGTCTCCCTCTGAACGAGAAAATAAGACTAAATTTAGTCTTGAAAAATGAATAAATGGCTTTGTCCCAGTCAGATAAAAAAAACTTGATTCAAGCAATTATTACCTCATATTTGATCACTTTTTGCAGTGAACCTTTTACCCTTTGATGAACCGTTAATAATATAACGTCTTGGACAGAACTGTTTCCTTCTTTGTAACACAAATGTCTTGCAGCTAAATTAGTTTAGGACAGTGTTCCCCAAACTTTTTGACTCGTTGCACACCTTTTCCAGTGAAAACAATCACATGGCAAATCCAGCTAAAAAAAGGGAACTCTGCAGCCATGAATGGAAAGTCCTGTTTTATAGAGAATCAAATAAGCACAAAACCATCTAATATTCTACATGATTTTATTTTCACATTATTTTGACCAATTAGATGATATCTGATCATTTCCAAAGGAACCAAACAACATTTCAAAGCACACTAACGTACCGCATCACTCTGGTTGAAAAAGGCTGGTTTAGGTTCATATCATTTCTACTTCAGCCAAAGTAAATTACATTCTTAACCCCATTTCCTACTGTGTGTCATACCTGATGTACGTGTGAAATGACTGAAGACACTTTTATGTTCAAAGCCAGAATGATACATCTGAGAAAGATTGTTGGTCACACTTTAGCTCAGCCTTCAGTAATTAACAGCTAATTAGAGTAAAATATATTGTTAATTAGATATTAGTTGGCATTTATTAAGCACTTATTAGTCCTTATTCTACATGTCCCTATTCAACCTCTAACTGACACTTTCCCATGTGGGTTAGGGTCAGGGTCAGGGGACACTGATTAGCATTTAATGAGCTGTTACTTTGTTAGGGATAATCTAAAGTGTTACAGATGTTTCCACCCGTCTGGACCAGGGTTTTCACCATTTCTAACCATCACTGCAAACAAAGAAAAGACCGTGAGATGATGCAGATGATGTGGTGCTGTCCCCTCAGGCTCCTCGGTCCTGGGCGCTGAGGACGACCTGGCCGTGTCTCTGCACTTCATGAAGGGCGGCAGTCCTCCGTCCTCTGATGAAGACTCCGGAATGTCCAGCTTTGTGGAGAACCCCCAGTACTTCTGCGGCATCATCAAAGACAAAGACATGTGTGAGTGTCCACACTGATCCAGAGGCAGTCAATCTGACTGCTTATGGAAATGAGGGAGGTGTCATTTTCGCTCACATGACAGAAACACATCCCCCCACCCCTTTTGTCTAAATACTCTTTTTCAAACCTTTTAAACTATAAACCAATCTTTTGACTATGCCATCAGGGACAGAGCTGTGTTCTTCCTTTTAAACCTAAAGTATTGCCTCTAATTAATTCCTCCTAAATTAAGTATATATATGTCCACATCACTCTGGACAGAGCAGTCGCATTCCCCTGCTGCTCCTCGCTTGCTGCTTTTTTATCTCCTTTAATCATTTTTGCTTACATTTTTATTCCACAAAACACGGATTACTCCTTTTTACAAACTTCAACACAAGACTGGTGGAATTTACCTAACTTACAGCATGTTGGGAGGACGGGAAAATAGAACAAAACTTTGCGACGGCTGTTTTTCACTCAAACAGGAGCTAAAACTTCTTCAAGACCGAATGTTTGTGCTTGAATCAGAATTGGGGCTGAACACAACAATACCAGTGAAAGGAAATGGACCAAATGGACAGCACGTAAGTTATGATGACGCTATTTCATTTCCCAAAATCAACAGAGACAATTGTTGGAACACATATGGTGCCAAGCTCAAACAAGGCAAAGCTAATGATAACAAGAGTGTCATAATGCCACAGAAAAAATCTTTAATTACAAGAAACCGCTTTTCTCAGTCCCAGTCTCAGTCTCAGTCAAGGTCAAATGCAGCTGAGTCGCTCTTTATCGGGGATTCGGCGATAAGAAATGTAAATATGCGTAATCTCAAGGTTCACTCAGTACACTCTGCCAAAGTGGATGAGATAAGGCGGTTGGCTCCGAGGCTTCTGTCTGAGACCGGCGGGGTAAAAAGATTGTTGATCCACGTGGGGGCAGTAGACGTCTATGACAACACAAGTGAAAAGTTGAAACGGGATTACTCTCTCTTATTGGACGACCTTGCTAAAATGGACGCAACAATCGTTATCAGTGGCCCACTACCAAATGTGGACGGGAAGCAAATGAAATTCAGTCGTCTGTATCAGCTAAATACTTTCCTACTCAACGAATGTTCACGCAGAGGACTTGCCTTCATTGAGAATTTTAATCTGTTCTGGAATAGGCATGAGCTTTTTGAAGGGAAAGGGCCACATCTGAACACTTACGGAGTAAAAGTGTTGATGGATAACCTTTCTTTTGCCCTGAGACCTCAGCCTGCGCAGCGCGTGCAGCCATCGAAAGGGAGGAAGCCGACTCCAAAAGTCTCTGCACCTCCACCACCTCGAAGGATCTCAACACCACCACCACCTCGAAGGATCTCAACACCACCACCACCTCGAAGGATCTCAACACCACCACCACCTCGAAGGATCTCAACACCATCACCGCCTCAAAGGATCTCAACACCACCACCACCTCGAAGGATCTCAACACCACCACCACCTCGAAGGATCTCAACTGTCATCAGAAGCAGCTGCATCATCACCAGTAGCAGCACCAGCAGCGCGACCACCACCACCAACATCCTCATCCCCAGCCTGCTCCAAAGCAGCCACGCCTTCTTCATCTACAGCGCCTCTGAAGCCCCCATCCTCACCCCAGCCTACAGCAGACAGGCCTGTGCTGGGGTTTCCTCAACCACCTGCCCCTCCATCAAAGACTCCCTCGCCACCTCCCATGGACCTGTCTTGGGTCCCCCCTGCCACGTCCACTCCATCAAGAGAGAATGGGGACACCTCCCTTTGTTTTTCATCCCCGCCTTCACTGTTAGACTTACCTGAACACTCTGCAGGGCTAATAAAATCGGCGATGAAGACTATTCCTCTCACACCCATATTAGCTCGATCTAGAGTCCTGTCCAACATGCTAAACCACTCCCCATATGTACCTCCAAAACCACCTAGGGTTTCCAATTCACCTACAAAAACCACCTCAGCCAGTCCCTCCCCTAACCTCATGACCATTCCACCCCCACTTCCCCCTCGTTCAACACCCAAAACCTCTGCCTCAACCCACCCCGGCCCTAACCCATCACCTAAAACCCCTCCACCTCCCTGCCCCCCTCGTTCAACACCCAAAAGCCACCCACCTCTCCATCCTCCTCCCCTGCCTTCCCCTTCCCCTCTTTTCTCTAAACACTAGGATGCACAGGGTCTCTGCTTCGCAGCCACTGGCAGTCTAGTTAGAGGAGAGACCCGGCTGGGGCCCTGTCATGAAGCCACCTGTGCCATTCCCTTAGTGATAACACAAAGAATACATTGCAGAAAAACATCTGGAGTTAATCAGTCTAATCTAGAAAATCTAATTCTTGTTCCGTGTAAGAATCAGTCGACCACAACCGCTGATACTGAAACTTTGAAACTTGCTACGCTTAATGTCAGATCTCTTTGTAACAAGTCTTTTTTAATCAATAATTTTATTTGTTCTCATAATCTTGATCTTATGTTCATGGCTGAAACTTGGCTTGACCAAAATTCAGAAAATGCAGTTTTAATAGAAGCATCACCACCAAATTTCAAGTTTGAATCTGAAATACGGGAAAACAAAAAAGGAGGAGGCTTAGCTGCCATTTTTAGAGACCACTTTGTCTCCCATAGAATGTCTCTTGGGAAGTTTTCGTCATTTGAATATGTGTCTTTTAAAATACAACAAAAACAATCTCCTCCAATACTCTTCGTTGTCCTATACAAGCCACCGCAGTCATGTCACAGTTTTATTGATAATTTTACCGAGTTGCTTCCTGTGGCTCGAAGAATAGACTTTAAAACAGCTCTGCTTGTGTACAAGTCTCTCCATAGCCTCGCACCAAAATATATTAGTGACATGTTAGTCCCATATGAACCAGCCCGGACTCTGAGGAGCACAGGGACTGGACTCCTGTTAGTGCCCAGAGTCAGAACTAAACATGGGGAGGCTGCTTTTCAGATTCATGCTGCTAAAATCTGGAACAGTCTTCCTGAAGATGTGAGACAGGCCTCCTCTCTGACAATGTTTAAAACCAGGTTAAAGACAGTTCTGTTTAACTGTGCATACAACTGAGGGATTTTATATTTTTATCTTTCTTTTTAATGTTCTGTGATAATTTATGATTTTAATGCTTTCTTGTTTTGTTCAGCACTTTGAATTGCCTTGTGTATGAATTGTGCTATATAAATAAACTTGCCTTGCCTTGCCTTGTCATTTCCGAAGTCTACCACTGGATTAGAGTTGGCACACACTAGTAATCTTTTCTCCCATTTCTCATGTAAAATTATATATTTCAATAACTAATATTGATGGATATAAGTATATATCGCTTTTTTCTATTTGCACATCTTGTTTGTAGGCAGCTATGGTGTGCTTAAATCTCGATTGAACCGATTCCATAGAAATAAAATTGATATACTTTTGTGCTGCCCAAAATCCATAACTGCAGGTATCTCAAATAATTCTCAAGATTGTGGATTTGCCAATGACAGATTAGAAAAGCTGGCAAAGAATAATCTAATATCAATGACAATATTAAAATGGCTAAACTCACAACAGAGAACACACCCTCGACCTGATCTTAAGCATTGGCCTCACGCTCTGTTGGTGAGTGTCTTTAACTACTATGAGGTTTTTTTTTAAACTGGTTTTATTTAAAGAGCGACCTCTGTGAAACTGTGAGAGAGCGAAATCCAAACTCTGATGTTGCTGCCAATCTTTATGTAACAATTGTTACTGTTTTTACCTGCCCTCCAGGGATATTAAAGTCAATTAATTCACCAGTAGACTCTGTTTTGTTACACCACAGAGAACTTAGAACATACAAACTAAATCCAAACCACTGAGGAGAAATGTTCAAAATGTGCAGAGAGGTGGCGAAAAAACAAAACAATAATATAATACATCTGTTCGGGGGTTCTTATCTTCTTTGACGTGTGTGTCTTTGCAGGCGTGCAGCACATAAAGCGGCAGGACATCGTGCTGAAGTGGGAGCTGGGAGAGGGAGCGTTTGGGAAGGTCTACCTCGCAGAGTGCTCCAACCTCAACCCCGACTGTGACAAGATGCTGGTGGCCATCAAGGTAAGACCATGGACCGTTTTCTAGTAATGGGGGAAACTGTTCAGTATCACGCAAATAAATCGATACAGTAGAGCAAAGTATTGCAATATTTAATTATATAATTATCTGTTTCACTTTCGAGTTTGATTGAGAATGTGCAAACCATAATAAATGTGACATGTGAGTTGAGTCTTATTTTCCTCCATGGAAATATGAGTAATATATCACAGAATCAAATCACAATTCTTGTATTGCAAGAATATTAATAATATTGAATTGTGGTCCAAATATCGCAATACTATGGAATTGTCTCCACTCTGCGTATGGAGATGGGTAATTCTAATAATAAAGCCCAATAGAAAAGTGCTCATGGACCAAGTTTTGCTCCTACTTGGCTCCACATTCCTGCTCAAACAGGCTTTTGGGGGTCGCTCTGATCAGACTTTTCTTCAATACTTTAGTGAGAACATTCTGGCCCCTCATGAGACGAACAGTAGAAGAACCTAAAATGAGTAATTTCCTTGCATGTAATGAATACCATGTGTACGTTCGTGACAGGACAGAGTTTTATTTGGATCATGTTCACTGAGGACAAGGGCTTTGTCCGCAATTAACACATACTGTATAATCACACATTTTAACCAAAAAAATACATATACATAATATACAAGTTTCATATCCGTTGACCAGAACTTGCCTGATGGAAGCATTCCTGTATAGATTTGAACCCTTTTATAGATCACCTTTTGAGTCAATATAGCTACTTTAAGCATGGTTTGAGCTGAAATGTTCTTCTTTGGGTCATCTTTAAAAAAAAATTTAGGCACTTTTACGGTCTAAATGCCTCTCAACCACTTGATAAGAGCCTATGATATAAACAAAATGTGTGCTCTTATACAGAAAAAAATTACATTGCTTTCGTCAACGAGTGTTAAAAAACCGCTGTTTACACCGATGCTAAGATCTTCATCATACTCACCACAGTGGCTATGGTGAGAACAAGTCTGATGTAAGAGGACGGAAATGCAGATTCAGGTCCATCTCGAGCACAGTTTGCGTCGTGGGTCTCCTCAATAAAAGTTTTAAACCTTTAGTTGCTGCACGGTTCTATTGTCATCTACTGCAGACCAACAAACAGAGTAGTCTCCTCGCTTCACGTCTGCCGTCGTCGCAGCTCATTAAAACTATTTTAGTTCTGGCTGCAGCCGATGTCTTGTCGGTCTGCAGCAGCGTCAGTGAGTCCATGTCCTACGTCCTCAGACCCTGAAGGACGCCACAGAGTCCACACGGCAGGACTTCCAGAGGGAGGCGGAGCTTCTGACCGTCTTACAGCACCAGCACATTGTCCGCTTCTACGGCGTCTGCACAGACGGAGAGCCGCTCGCCATGGTGTTCGAGTACATGCGGCACGGAGACCTTAACCGCTTCCTCCGGTCAGTACACAACACTCAATCTGGTCAGTACACAACACTCAATCTGGTCAGTACACAACACTCCGTCTGGTCAGTACACAACACTCAATCTGGTCAGTACACAACACTCCGTCTGGTCAGTAGACAACACTCAATCTGGTCAGTACACAACACTCAATCTGGTCAGTACACAACACTCAATCTGGTCAGTACACAACACTCAATCTGGTCAGGACACAACACTTCCTCTGGTCAGTACACAACACTCAATCTGGTCAGTAGACAACACTCAATCTGGTCAGTACACAACACTCCGTCTGGTCAGTACACAACACTCAATCTGGTCAGTACACAACACTCAATCTGGTCAGTACACAACACTCCGTCTGGTCAGTACACAACACTCAATCTGGTCAGTACACAACACTCAATCTGGTCAGTACACAACACTCCGTCTGGTCAGTAGACAACACTCAATCTGGTCAGTACACAACACTCAATCTGGTCAGTACACAACACTCAATCTGGTCAGTACACAACACTCAATCTGGTCAGGACACAACACTTCCTCTGGTCAGTACACAACACTCAATCTGGTCAGTAGACAACACTCAATCTGGTCAGTACACAACACTCCGTCTGGTCAGTACACAACACTCAATCTGGCCAGTACACAACACTCAATCTGGTCAGGACACAACACTCCTTCTGGTCAGTACACAACACTTCCTCTGGTCAGTACACAACACTCAATCTGGTCAGTACACAACACTCAATCTGGTCAGTACACAACACTTCCTCTGGTCAGTACACAACACTTCCTCTGGTCAGTACACAACACTCAATCTGGTCAGTACACAACACTTCCTCTGGTCAGTACACAACACTCAATCTGGTCAGTACACAACACTCCTTCTGGTCAGTACACAACACTTCCTCTGGTCAGTACACAACACTCAATCTGGTCAGAACACAACACTCCTTCTAGTCAGTACACAATACTCAATCTGGTCAGTACACAACACTCAATCTGGTCAGTACACAACACTTCCTCTGGTCAGTACACAACACTCAATCTGGTCAGTACACAACACTCAATCTGGTCAGAACACAACACTCAATCTGGTCAGTACACAACACTTCCTCTGGTCAGTACACAACACTCAATCTGGTCAGTACACAACACTCAATCTGGTCAGTACACAACACTCCGTCTGGTCAGTACACAACACTCAATCTGGTCAGTACACAACACTCAATCTGGTCAGTACACAACACTCAATCTGGTCAGGACACAACACTTCCTCTGGTCAGTACACAACACTCAATCTGGTCAGTAGACAACACTCAATCTGGTCAGTACACAACACTCCGTCTGGTCAGTACACAACACTCCGTCTGGTCAGTACACAACACTCAATCTGGTCAGTACACAACACTCAATCTGGTCAGGACACAACACTCCTTCTGGTCAGTACACAACACTTCCTCTGGTCAGTACACAACACTCAATCTGGTCAGTACACAACACTCAATCTGGTCAGTACACAACACTTCCTCTGGTCAGTACACAACACTTCCTCTGGTCAGTACACAACACTCAATCTGGTCAGTACACAACACTTCCTCTGGTCAGTACACAACACTCAATCTGGTCAGTACACAACACTCCTTCTGGTCAGTACACAACACTTCCTCTGGTCAGTACACAACACTCAATCTGGTCAGAACACAACACTCCTTCTTGTCAGTACACAATACTCAATCTGGTCAGTACACAACACTCAATCTGGTCAGTACACAACACTTCCTCTGGTCAGTACACAACACTCAATCTGGTCAGTACACAACACTCAATCTGGTCAGAACACAACACTCAATCTGGTCAGTACACAACACTTCCTCTGGTCAGTACACAACACTCAATCTGGTCAGTACACAACACTCAATCTGGTCAGTACACAACACTCCGTCTGGTCAGTACACAACACTCAATCTGGTCAGTACACAACACTCAATCTGGTCAGTACACAACACTCCGTCTGGTCAGTACACAACACTCCGTCTGGTCAGTACTGTCAGTACACAACACTCAATCTGGTCAGTAGACAACACTCAATCTGGTCAGTACACAACACTCCGTCTGGTCAGTACACAACACTCAATCTGGTCAGTACACAACACTCAATCTGGTCAGGACACAACACTCCTTCTGGTCAGTACACAACACTTCCTCTGGTCAGTACACAACACTCAATCTGGTCAGTACACAACACTCATCATCTGGTCAGTACACAACACTTCCTCTGGTCAGTACACAACACTTCCTCTGGTCAGTACACAACACTCAATCTGGTCAGTACACAACACTTCCTCTGGTCAGTACACAACACTCAATCTGGTCAGTACACAACACTCCTTCTGGTCAGTACACAACACTTCCTCTGGTCAGTACACAACACTCAATCTGGTCAGAACACAACACTCCTTCTAGTCAGTACACAATACTCAATCTGGTCAGTACACAACACTCAATCTGGTCAGTACACAACACTTCCTCTGGTCAGTACACAACACTCAATCTGGTCAGTACACAACACTCAATCTGGTCAGAACACAACACTCAATCTGGTCAGTACACAACACTTCCTCTGGTCAGTACACAACACTCAATCTGGTCAGTACACAACACTCAATCTGGTCAGTACACAACACTCAATCTGGTCAGTACACAACACTCCGTCTGGTCAGTACACAACACTCAATCTGGTCAGTACACAACACTCAATCTGGTCAGTACACAACACTCCGTCTGGTCAGTAGACAACACTCAATCTGGTCAGTACACAACACTCAATCTGGTCAGGACACAACACTTCCTCTGGTCAGTACACAACACTTCCTCTGGTCAGTACACAACACTCAATCTGGTCAGTAGACAACACTCAATCTGGTCAGTACACAACACTCCGTCTGGTCAGTACACAACACTCAATCTGGTCAGTACACAACACTCAATCTGGTCAGTACACAACACTCCTTCTGGTCAGTACACAACACTTCCTCTGGTCAGTACACAACACTCAATCTGGTCAGTACACAACACTTCCTCTGGTCAGTACACAACACTCAATCTGGTCAGTACACAACACTCAATCTGGTCAGAACACAACACTCAATCTGGTCAGTACACAACACTTCCTCTGGTCAGTACACAACACTCAATCTGGTCAGTACACAACACTCAATCTGGTCAGTACACAACACTCCGTCTGGTCAGTACACAACACTCAATCTGGTCAGTACACAACACTCAATCTGGTCAGTACACAACACTCCGTCTGGTCAGTACACAACACTCCGTCTGGTCAGTACACAACACTCAATCTGGTCAGTAGACAACACTCAATCTGGTCAGTACACAACACTCCGTCTGGTCAGTACACAACACTCCGTCTGGTCAGTACACAACACTCAATCTGGTCAGTACACAACACTCAATCTGGTCAGGACACAACACTCCTTCTGGTCAGTACACAACACTTCCTCTGGTCAGTACACAACACTCAATCTGGTCAGTACACAACACTCAATCTGGTCAGTACACAACACTTCCTCTGGTCAGTACACAACACTTCCTCTGGTCAGTACACAACACTCAATCTGGTCAGTACACAACACTTCCTCTGGTCAGTACACAACACTCAATCTGGTCAGTACACAACACTCCTTCTGGTCAGTACACAACACTTCCTCTGGTCAGTACACAACACTCAATCTGGTCAGAACACAACACTCCTTCTAGTCAGTACACAATACTCAATCTGGTCAGTACACAACACTCAATCTGGTCAGTACACAACACTTCCTCTGGTCAGTACACAACACTCAATCTGGTCAGTACACAACACTCAATCTGGTCAGAACACAACACTCAATCTGGTCAGTACACAACACTTCCTCTGGTCAGTACACAACACTCAATCTGGTCAGTACACAACACTCAATCTGGTCAGTACACAACACTCCGTCTGGTCAGTACACAACACTCAATCTGGTCAGTAGACAACACTCAATCTGGTCAGTACACAACACTCCGTCTGGTCAGTACACAACACTCAATCTGGTCAGTACACAACACTCAATCTGGTCAGGACACAACACTCCTTCTGGTCAGTACACAACACTTCCTCTGGTCAGTACACAACACTCAATCTGGTCAGTACACAACACTCAATCTGGTCAGTACACAACACTTCCTCTGGTCAGTACACAACACTTCCTCTGGTCAGTACACAACACTCAATCTGGTCAGTACACAACACTTCCTCTGGTCAGTACACAACACTCAATCTGGTCAGTACACAACACTCCTTCTGGTCAGTACACAACACTTCCTCTGGTCAGTACACAACACTCAATCTGGTCAGAACACAACACTCCTTCTAGTCAGTACACAATACTCAATCTGGTCAGTACACAACACTCAATCTGGTCAGTACACAACACTTCCTCTGGTCAGTACACAACACTCAATCTGGTCAGTACACAACACTCAATCTGGTCAGAACACAACACTCAATCTGGTCAGTACACAACACTTCCTCTGGTCAGTACACAACACTCAATCTGGTCAGTACACAACACTCAATCTGGTCAGTACACAACACTCCGTCTGGTCAGTACACAACACTCAATCTGGTCAGTACACAACACTCAATCTGGTCAGTACACAACACTCCGTCTGGTCAGTACACAACACTCCGTCTGGTCAGTACACAACACTTACTCTGGTCAGTACACAACACTCAATCTGGTCAGTACACAACACTCTCTTCGGTCAGTAATAATGATAATAATTCATCAGTTTTATACAACGCTTTTCTGGACACTCAAAGATGCTTCACATGTTATTATTCTTTCAACCAGTGGGGGTGGGTCCCAGCTCAAAACTGGCCAAAATGACGTGCGCTGACATGCTTGCAATACCAACCCGGGCCAATGGGGGTGGATTCAGAAGAAGAATTAGCCAATGCTAACATATAGCGTTAGCAGACCTTTCAAAAACGTCTTTACAGGATGGACCAAAAGTTGGCTCTTGGCCCAAAGCTCCGTTCCACATGTGTGTCAATGCTGAGGGGGGTGAATTTTTTTGGTCCACTCTAGTTTACTTGCAGTGAATTTTTGAAGTCTCTCGTTCAAATGAATGGATCTCTCGCTGGCTGACACATGCGCAGATGCGTTTTTTCACAATTTTCTTGTGGGTGGGACCACTCGCGGCCATTTTGGATTGCTCCAGTAGAGCACATTTTTTGGCCCATTAGTTAGAACGGCGGAGATAGGCGTGACTGTGCCTATGGTTTCAACCCTAACCCTCCCACCACCACCAACCATTCACACACACACCAGACTCATTCTAATGTGGGGGAAGTGTCTTGCCTTAGGACACAACCACAGTTTAGCACTTTACAGCCGCAGTCGCCCCACTGTGTTCTCAGAGGTCTCCCATCACAGTACTAACCAGGCCCTGTCCTGCTTAGTTTCAGAGGTCTGACAGGATCTGGCTTTCACCTGAGTGGACTGAGGCTGTAGATTCAGGACTGAGGCTGCAGACCATGAGTCGGGCCGGGGTGGACAGTCCTTAGGTGCAGATGGAGGAGGCCGGGTTCAGGGGTCCCATCCTCCCCCCGTGAAACAGACAATGGGACAGCGGGTGAATAGCAATGAACAGACTAGAGCTGAGGTCATAATTATGTCAGATAAATTAGAAGAGGATTGTGCTGTTACCAGACTTCTCCAGCAGGGGGCTCTACATGCAGCGTCACAGACAGATCTATATTTTTAGACTTAAAGCAGCAGTAAGCGATTTGGTCGTTTCCGGCAGTTTCTTCTGCCTGAGCGAGTTAGTAGCCCCGCCCCCGTCCCCTCGTCACACCACATGAACGCGCAGCAGCAGTTGGTGATGGCAGCAGCACGTTCATCTCCATCAGGTCTACTCGTAAGTATATTAACAACAAACTCTGGGAGTGAAATATTAGCATAGAATAGCTCAGTTGTAACCTAGCTATAACACTGGAAGCAGCTTGGTGTTAGCTAGGATAGCATCACTAAGAAAGAGATAAAAACAATCCAGTCTTTTATAGAATAATACTGCTTTTATAGTTTGTACACTGATAACTGTTGTGATAAACAATGTTGCAGATTGCAGTGTGACGTGTCTCAACATTATGCACTGTAACATCTGTTACAGTGCATATGTATTAGATGAATGTAATGCATATACATTACAACAACAAAGCTTTACATGAAGGTTATTTAAAGTAATACATTACTGCTTTCCTCACAATTTGTATATTTGGAGTTCTTTATAGACAACACTGTAGTAATGTATTATGTGAAAGTAAAGCTGCATCTCACTGGAAGCTGCCTTCTCAATGTCACAAAATAAAGATACATTTATTGATGTAATCAACATCTGTATTATGTGCTTATTGTTCAGAGAATGAAGACAAAATCAAAGTGTATCAGAGCTGTACAGTGAGATGTGGGACTGAAAAACAATTCCAGTAAAGCTTGTCCGAAACGCAAAAGTACTGTCATAACTAATTACGTTACACTATTACACTGTAAGGAAACTCACCACTTTGAAAGAAAAGCTACAAGTAACAGAATATATAAAGTCATTTGTCATAACGGTTCTTTCAGGAAGCACTGAACGCCCTCTGTCCAGAGAAGCTGATGACCAGATCCTTTCCCTGATGCGTCTGTGAAAGGTGCCAACAGACATTGAAAACGTGCTTTCCTCAGCGGCCCCATGGTGCACGTCCTCAGTGGCCCCCATGGTGCACGTCCTCAGCGGCCCCCATGGTGCACGTCCACTCTGCAGTTCTGAAATATGTTTGTAGTTGTACTATTTCAAAATAAAAAAAAATACATTCACCTCTTTCAATGTGCTTTGTTTTATAGTAGGAAAACAAATACAGTCTGTAACGAGTCTAAGAAACTTTATTATGTAAAAGAAGATTTGAAGTTATAGCCGGAAAAATATACACAATGTCCCTACTAAGACAAATAATTACAAGTGATGGTAAGGCAACGTTTGTGTTATCACTTTTTGCTCAAATGAATAACACTGTTATTATCCAGGTCCTTATCCATCGCTGCTGCAGCGAACACTATCAGAGATATCTAACAAAATGTTAATCTTTATGTTGTAGCTTGTTTGAACACATTTCCTCAAAATAATTCATAAGCAGCCACAAGCACACACAGTCACACGCACACACAGTCACACACAGTCACAAGCACACACAGCCACAAGCACACACAGTCACACACAGTCACAAGCACACACAGTCACAAGCACACACAGTCACAAGCACACACAGTCACAAGCACACACAGCCACAAGCACACACAGCCACAAGCACACACAGCCACAAGCACACACAGTCACAAGCACACACAGTCACAAGCACACACAGTCACACGCACACACAGTCACACGCACACACAGTCACACAGTCACACAGTCACACGCACACACAGTCACACAGTCACACAGTCACACGCACACACAGCCACGCTTCAGGGGCCCAGGTTGAAGGAACTGGAGTCTTCCTCTGGCAGAGATTTTCCTTTGAAACATAATAGAGGAGACATCAGTTTTATCTACTCAAATATGACTTTGATATATTCATCATCAACAACATCAGTATTTATTGATCACCAGGAGTGGCCCCTGATCCACAGGATCCTTGTACATGTTTATTTGGACTGTGAGAGACTGTGCATTGTGAGAGAAAGACACTTACATCGGCTGTTTTGGGAGTCGAGTGATTATCTCACTCCTCTTGATTGTTGAAGAAACTCAGCGACAGTTTTGTCAACACTGACTCCTGGAACATGATCGATATTCATTTTGGACCTCAGGGCAGCAACACAACTGTAGGGATGAACGACTCACACATCACAACATTATATCATAATCACTGCGTCCCATATATGCATTCACAACAACCTACATGACAAATGTGGGGTGTAAAGTCTTCCTCAGGAGATGACAATGGCCATTCTTCTAATTCTGGAAGCAAAGTCTTGTCTTCCCAGTCAATACTAGAGAAAGAAGAGGTCAGCAGAAAAGTATCTCGTCGTTATGGCATTGTTTTTTTTTTAATAGTTATTTAACTTGCATTATGGAGGCTTTTGAACTCTTGTACATTGAAGACCTCATTCCAATTGATTTAGGCCATACTGGAAAAGATACAGAGAAAAGAATGCAATGAAGACATGTAAATTATTACAATGTCTATATTATATCATGCTCATAATTTATTTGGTAGTAGTCAGCAAGACTCTTACTTATTCTCAATACATAATAATAAAAATGTATGTAGTGGTCACGGAAGTTAGATTTGAGGTAAAGAGATATTGTTTTTTATAACAATAAAACTAATATACAGAGTGCAAGTTGCAAAACTTAGTCATTGAAGAATGAAATGCAGACCTACATATATATATATAGTGCAAGCAACTATGTTTATTGGCAAAAACAAACGATTCATACAGATCAGAAGTGATCGTAGCAGCCACATCATATTCACAACTACAGACAGCTAATGCTAACAGCTAACGCTAATGCTAACAGCGAACGCTAATGCTAACAGCGAACGCTAATGCTAACAGCGAACGCTAATGCTAACAGCGAACGCTAATGCTAACAGCGAACGCTAATGCTAACAGCGAACGCTAATGCTAACACCACTTCACGGGGAACTCTGGTGATATGGTCATTTAATTTTGTACATGTGGGGAACTAATAATTGACCGGAGTTTATGGATGGCTGAGGCTGGGCTAAGGCTTCGATGTTGTGTTGTCTGTTGTTGTTTCTCAAAGCTAAGCCAAGGTAATGCGCAGTTATTGCCACAAAATGCGGCCGTATTTCTACAACAGCTGGGTATTTTTAACTAGCTAACTTGGTGAAAGCCCGCATTACAGTCTCAGGCAACAATATGTATAAATAATACAACTACTACTGCCACTACTGAGTAACATGCTCACCTGTTCAGTCGGAGAGAGGAATCCACGGAGCTAGAGGTCGCCAACATGAATGCAGCTGGTCACCATGTTTGCTCCTACTTTTTGTCGTTCCTCTGTTACTGGCGTTTTGCCTGTATTTAATAAATCCATGGTATTTAGTCTGCAGCTTTTCCTTCTCCGCCATGTTTGTTTTGAAGAGTGCGCGTGCACACACGGGAGAAACGCCTTATAAGGCGTGCTCTCTCGTCATTGGATAAGCGCATAGGATGTGAGGTTTTTTTATTATATAGGTGGGAGAAGACTGGAAGGACTGAGAGATCCGTGTTTAGGTACAAACACTCTATATAAGTGATGGCTATTGGAATATATCAATATTTAAGACGTATATTAACACCCAAAAATCGCTTACTGCTGCTTTAAGGTTGTATTTCTAAGTCTTCCCTGAGTCCTACCTTCCTAACCATCTGCTGAAGTAAAGGAGACTGTTTTAACTCTTGCCTTGAATGCAGTTTCCTAAAGTGTGTTTGTGTTGTGTTTGCCTCAGAGCCCACGGTCCAGACGCCCGGATGTTGGATGAGTCGAAGATGCCGGCTCTGGGGCAGCTCACGGTTCCACACATGCTCCACATCGCGGCACAGATCGCCTCAGGGATGGTCTACCTCGCCTCCCTGCACTTTGTTCACCGAGACCTGGCAACGCGCAACTGCCTGGTGGGGGAGGGGCTGGTGGTGAAGATCGGAGACTTCGGAATGTCCCGGGACATCTACAGCACGGACTACTACAGGGTGAGGCTGAGCGTCTGTCTGAAGAGGGGAACAGGGGATCTAAGGCCTGCGTGATTGATAAATTGATCAAATTCTGCAGTATTGGCTCCAAATTAGATGTACATTTCTCGAAAAATGTCTTCAAACCTGTGTTTCTTCATTCACTCTACAGCTTTAGTCGAATGGGATTTCTTGCTTTGACCACGGGATAGAATTGATGCTCATTCCAGACATCTCATATTCCATTTTCAATTCAATTTTTTTTGTATCGCCCTAAATCACAACAGTATTACAAAGCTGTCAATTCACAAGCGCAGATCAGAGCATCAACCCTTTCAAACACACTAAATGCAATGATAACACACAGAGCCATTGGTTCATAAGGAGCGGGGCAGAGACCGATGTCCAGAAATGTTGATAAAGTGTCTTGGATCATCACCACTGTCCCTTGGAACAACTCTGAAACTATTCTATGCTCACCCATTTGTTCGGTCGCTGTGTCCCTGGAGCAGGTGGGGGGGCGCACCATGCTGCCGATCCGCTGGATGCCTCCGGAGAGCATCATGTACCGGAAGTTCACCACAGAGAGCGACATCTGGAGCTTCGGCGTGGTGCTCTGGGAGATCTTCACCTACGGCAAACAGCCCTGGTACCAGCTGTCCAACAGTGAGGTGGGTCCAGCCTCAACCACGGCTTTCATCCACACATGGAAACACGGGATCACAGACTGTGTCAAAGCTGTGGTGGAATGTATGTACAAAAAGAGAGCGTCAACAATGAGAAAAAAAGTAAGCAACCAAGAACTGTCATACAATCAAAGTGTGGTCCTCGTAAACGCCGGTCAATGGATCATTCTCCTACATGTACTGTATGTCTGTAGTTCCCTCGGTTGTATCCCATCCGACCAATCAGCGAGCGGTAGGTAGGTGCCAGTGACGTCAAGGGCTGGTTGAAGTTTAGAAATGACGGGCGAATGCGATATAGTAAAGCAATTAGTTCTGGTTCGACTCCAAATATCAAGAAAGTAAAGCTAGGCTAAATGCTAGCAAGTCACTCGGGCGCAATACATACAAACTAAAGGTAATAATATATTATAAATTATAGGTAAACTCAGATCCAATCGTTTCGATCTGCAGAAAGAGTTAACCCCTCCCACCTGTTAACGGAGCTCAATGGAGCAAATCCAGACCTTAGTACGAAATGATTTTGTTTTTTACAATGGTGTGGTAAGATCAGTAAATGTGAATATATACAAGAAATACAACCATCACACATGCTGTCACAGTCCTCTCTCAGAAAGGTCTGCCCAGAATTACCCGACAAAATCAAGTCTGGAGTCAGGGGCGCAACTACCCACTTTCTGGGGGGTATGCAAACTCTTTTTCTGTTCCGTTCCATCTCTATGGCACCATGGGTAAATAAGGATTTTACTGTTGTTGAATGAGATGGCCCCCTGTCAAGTGCAGCTGAACTGGCCTAGAGGATATTTATTATTAATTTATTTCCTTCTAGCGTTTTGGCGCCCCCTGTCTTTTGGCTTTACAATGCATATAGTGCTTATGACCTATTTGCACCACTGTCCTGAGTGATGTGTGACTCGAGGCTTCTCTCTACACTTTCTCTCTCTGATACAACTCTGATATTCTAAAGACAGTTCACTAAAAAGCAGTTGTGACCTGGACCTACAGTTCTTTGACGTAGATACAGAACCGGAATCTGTTTCTCATCCATGCGTTGGCCTCGCTGTCTGTACAGAACAGATCATTAGTTCTGCTTTGGGTCAAAGTGCAAAAGTCAGATTTCTGTAACGTGAATGTTTTCTATCGTTCTTTTGCATCAGACATGGGGAGTGTTCTCATATGAAAGTGTTGAGGGCTTTTGAGAAAAACCTCCAGCCTGAATTATTGATGAATGTAAATTGGCCCTTCATTAGATTTTTTTCTGGGAGGTTAGATTGATTTTTGAAATTCAAGCCTTTTCTTCTTTCGCTTGTTGCCGATAAATTGGCGCATGCACAGGCGCAGATCGGGTTCTCATACAGCCACCCCACCCCTCTACTCAAATGATGTTATTACTGTGTCCAAATGGCATTAAAGGGGCATGAGCGAATGTGCAAAAGTGACTCTTATGAACCTTTAAAAGGACATTCAACGAGGCCTGGAGTGATTCATGTTTCAGTCATTAACATTAGAGCAGTGGGTGGATGATAGATAAATACTTGATTGATCTTGAAGTAATTTGTGCATTAGTCCCTTGCTCACGTTGGACTTCACAAAAAAAAGCAAAATGAAAGGATGCCCAGCTAACAATCATCTATACCTTCACTTTTCTGAAGTTGATGTCCGATGTCTTTAGATGTCTGAAGTTCAAGTAATATAGGACTAACTACTGTGGGAAAACAAGTCTTCTCTCTTAAAAAGATGAGATATGTCTGTATTTGTCATCGTTGGAAAATCTCAACTGGAGACGATAAGTCTGGAAGTTTTTTAGTCAATAACAAAAGTCCGTCTCAACACTTTGCTGCATTCTCTGTGTTGGCAATGACAGAGGGCAATTTTTTTCTGTAAGTCTTCACAACAAATACTGCAGGTATTTTGGCCCATTCCTCTCGCAGACTAAGGCCGCTCCAGGACCTTTGAAAATATTTTACGTGTCATTGTCGTGCTAAAAGACCCATGTTTCCTCCTGAAGGAAAACCTCAATCAGCAGGATTGAGGTTTTTGATCCCAACTACATGGCCCCAAGCATGATGTTTCCACCCCCATACTTCACAGTAGGTATAGTGCTCTTTGGATTCAACTCTGAATTCTTTCCCTTTCAAACACTACATGTTTTTACCAAAAAGTTATACTTTGGTTGAATCTGACCATATGACATTCTCCCAGTCCTCTTCTGGATCATCCAAATGCTCTTTAGCAAACTCCAGACCTGGACTCGGACCTGGACCTGTACTGGCCTGAGCAGTGGACACACCAGACCAACTGTGAGGCATGGGGGTGGAAACATTATACTGTGTTTCTACAAAGGGACCAGGACGAACAGTGAGAAAGATTGGGGGGAGATTGTGACAGAACACCTTTGACGCTGCTCATAATTCATGGTCAGAGAAAAATCTTTCCTCCATCAAACCGGAGGTGAGGCAAAGAGTCCCAAAGAGTCCCAAACAGGCCCACTAGGATTGGAGCATCAGCTTTATAGGCCATGTCTACGGAGATACTTTCAGGTTCTGTGGGAGGGCAAACCACTGCAGTTTATGTTGAACAAGTAACTTAAAGGTTGACAAAGTAACTTAAAGGGGAAGGGTAACGTGAGAAATTGTGGCAAAAGTATTTAAACATGGTTTCAAATGTAGCTGCTTCCTCTCTGTGTGTGGCGACTCTTTTATGACATGTGTAAGTTTCAAAGTGTAGTAGTGGTTGTGTACAGCCCTAAACCAACAATTGATATCTCTGAGAACTTTACAAAAACATTTCATTCGCCAACACACATCAGAGAATAAAACAGTTCAAACACGGGAAATGCAACAATAAAAAACACATAGAGCCATTGGTCCATTCATGTGGAGTGTCCTGGATCAACACCACTGTCCTTAGATAGATACATACTGTACATAGATAGATTAAAATATATACAGTATAAATGTTTTTGTTGTTGTGTGTCTCTGGTCAGTTGTGTGTCTGTTGTTTGTTGTGTGTTTCTCCTCACATCGATCACTTGTAGTAATGATGGCGGCAGAGGAGCCTTCAGAGCTCAGTCCTCTGTGGCCACTCTCTCTGGATCACTTTCCTCTCGCTCGATCCTAACCTGGTTGGCTGTCAGCGTGTCTGTGTGTGTGTGTGTGTGTGTGCCTGTGTTCGTCTGTGTGTGTGTGTGTGTGTGTGTGTGTGTATGTGTGTGTGTGTTTGTGTATGTGTGTGTGTGTGTGTGTGTGTGTGTGCCTGTGTTCGTCTGTGTGTGTGTGCATCTGTTCTCTCTGTGTGAGCATCTGTGTGTGTATTTCTGGGTGTGTGTGTGTGTGTGTGTGTCCGTCTGTCTTTTAGTTTGTGTGTGGCTGGGTGTGTTTGTGTGTATGTCTGTTTGTGTGTGTGTGTGTGTGTGTTTATGTCTGTGTGTGTGTCTGTGTGTGTGTGTGTGTCTGTGTCTGTGTGTGTGTGTGTGTGTCTGTGTGTGTGTGTGTGTGTGTGTTTATGTCTGTGTGTGTGTGTGTGTGTGTGTGTGTGTGTGTGTGTGTGTGTGTGTGTCTGTGTCTGTGTGTGTGTGTGTCTGTGTGTGTGTGTTTATGTATGTGTGTCTGTTGTGTGTCTGTGTGTGTGTGTGTGTGTGTGTGTCTCTATGTGTGTGTGTGTGTGTGCGTCTCTATGTGTGTGTGTGTGTGTGTGTCTGTGTGTGTGTGTCTGTGTGTGTGTGTGTGTGTGTCTGTGTCTGTGTGTGTGTGTGTGTCTGTGTGTGTGTGTTTATGTATGTGTGTCTGTTTGTGTGTCTGTGTGTGTGTGTGTGTGTGTGTGTGTGTGTGTGTCTTTATGTGTGTGTGTGTGTGTGCGTCTCTATGTGTGTGTGTGTGTGTGTGTGTGCGTGTGGCCGGAGCATGGAAAACTCGTTGGTTCATAGAAAACCAGCACGATACTATTGGAGTGTTCTTGGATCAAACCAAAGCCAAAGTTGAACCAGTTTGATGCAGTCATGATCTTTGTTCAGAAAAAGTTCATATAGAAAGATTTGGGATCAGGGGTGTGGCCTTTACCTGGATTAAAAGTTATTTAGGAAACAGATCCCACTATGTCCACCTGTGGTGTCCCCCAGGGGTCAGTGTTGAGTCCATTGTATGAGTCCATATACTTTGTTGTGGCAAAGACTTAGAGGCACTGTTTGAAGAAGTAGAAAATAGATCGAAAATATTGAAGCAATGGTTTGACATAGAGAAAACTAAATTCTTGATATTTGAGAATTGTCCAATCAATGTGGACCAAAATCGAATTATAAACGATAGAGTCAAGGCTTGGTTTTGCCTGAAAATGATTTTGAATTGTCAAAAATGTCTGAAATGGATCAAAATCATTGGTCAGAATGATACTGGTTGGTGATTGGTCGTGTCTCTCCTCAGGCCATCGAGTGCATCACCCAGGGCCGGGAGCTGGAGCGGCCTCGCACCTGTCCCATGGAGGTGTATGGTCTGATGCAGGGCTGCTGGCACCGCGAGCCCCAGCAGAGGATGGTCATCAGGGACATCCACAGCCGCCTGCTCGCCCTGGTCCAGAACCCCCCTGTCTACCTGGACGTCCTGGGATAGTCATGCGACATCACTGCCTGTGCGGAGAGGCCTCACGCTCCACTCTGTCAGACATAATGTTGTTGAAGCAAAGCTGAGTGTGTGTGTGTGTGTGTGTGTGTGTGTACAGTGCATCCGGAGAGTATTCACAGCGCTTCACTTTTTCCACATTTAGTTATGTTACATCCTTATTCCAAAATGCTTTCAATTCATTTTTTTGGGATTCTTGCAAATTTATTTAAAAAAAAATCTCCAACAAATTGTTTTCACGTTGTCATTATGGGGGTTTATGTGTAGAATTTTAAGGGGGAAAAATGAATTGAATCCATTTTGGAATGAGGCTGTAACAAAACAAAATGGAAGCTCTGTGAATACTTTCCGGATGCACTGTACGTGTGTGTGTGTGTGTGTGTGTATACATGTATGTGTGTGTGTATACATGTTTGTTTGTGTGTATACATGTATGTGTGTGTGTGTGTGTACATGTTTGTACACACACTGCAAGAAGTGATGAAATATAAGTGAAAAATTACTGAAATTTGGCTAAATGTATCTTAATCTCCCTTGGAATGACAAAATAAAGTAAGTAAGTAATGTTTATAGCGCATGTTTACAGACCAAGGTCACCCAAAGCACTTTACAATGTTCAGAGTCAGATATTGTTCCAATCATTCCACACACGGTGATGACGGAAGCGAGTCGCCGAACACACTGGACCATCAGCCCCCAATCAACACCATCCGATCACTCTCTCATTTACATTCATACTTATTGTACATATTTTTTGTGGTAGGGGAAACCGGAGCACCCGGAGGAAACCTACACAGACATGGGGAGAACATGCAAACTCCATTCAGAAAGGCCCTGTCCCGCCCACGTCCATTGGAGAATCTTCTTTAAAGACAGAATGTGCTCGAATTAAGATAAAAACCACTAGATTCAAGCAATCATTACCTCTTATTTTATCATGTTTTGCAGTGATGTGTGTGTGTGTTTGTGTGTGTGTGTGTGTGTGTGTGTGTGTGTGTGTGCGGCTGGGGGGGGGGGGGGGGGGGGGGGGGGGGGGGGTGGGGGGGGGGGGGCTGTTTTCTGCCTTTATTACATAAGCAGCCTGTCATTTCCCGCTCCTGTGTTTTACTATTAAGATTCTTTCATTATTCACTACAAGTTTGACACACATTTTCTACTTTAAACTTTTTTGCACATTTGAAAACATGAAATACCAAAATAAATGATAGTCTCACAATCAGGAACTTGGGAAAATAAATCTGAAAAACAGAATCTGATTGTTTGAAATGTGCACAGTAAAAAACAGCCACAAAAATATCATCAGTTATGAGTCTAAAAACACAACAGCAAAGTCGCCAAAATGTTTGGTAACACTTTTAGATTAGCCCTCAGTAATAGCCCTAAATATCGGGGGACTTTACAAAGCTGTCGATTCTCCAACACAGATCAGAGAATCAAACAGTTCAAACACAGAAATGCAATGATAACAAACACACAGAGACATCGGTTCATGAGGAGCAGAGACCTGTCACTCACCCACACGGGAAAGTCTCCGTTAGCATTTAGTCAGATGTAGAATAAGGATTAGTAAGTGCTTAATACATACTAATTAAGAGCTAATTAAGTATAAATTATAAACTAATTATCACTTCATTAGTTGTTAATTACTGAGGGCTAAACTAAAGTGAGACCAAAAAAATACAATTTAATGTTGAGTTCTTCTGTGGAGAGTGTACAGTGTGTGTTTACAGAGTGTACAGTGTGGACTCAGACTTCTGTAAATAATGATTTTTTTTTTTTTCAGAAAACGAATGTTATGCAAATTTGTCTGATATATATATATATATATAGTACTTATACTCTGTAGTGAGAGATGGATCAGTATTTTAATATGATTTGAATGGGACTTAAAGTGACATTATCCCTGTACAGAGTTTGGATCACTGTCCTGAGGGTTTACAAAGGTTCCGTTTTCACCTACCCCCTATCCCCGCCCACGCCTACAGTCTGTACTATCCATGCATGTTTCAATTATTCAAGGACACATTTAGTTCATTATGGTACAATATAGTATCAGGAACCTGTGGACAGAAACATGTCGCCCATCTGCCTAAAAGTTCTGTTTTCAAACTTTATTATTTATAAAGAACTTTTTGAAGTTCTTTCATCAGCACAAGACAATACACAATACACACTTAACACACAACACACACAATAAAGAAGAAGATGTACAGAGATCAAACACAGAGGTCTGCTCCCACTATAGAACACTACTGGACAGTTAAATGTCAATTAGAAAGAAGAATTACCAATGTCCTACTTTTGCTATTGTATTTGTGTATCGCCCTGAATCACAACAGTAGTTATGGGGACTTTACAAAACTGTTGATTTACCAACACAGATCAGAGAGTCAAACAGTTCAAACACAGGAAATGCAATGATAAAAACATGCAGAACCATTGGTCCATAAGGAGCAGAGACCACTGTCCTTAGACCAGGCATTTCAAACTCAGGCCTGTGGGCCAAATCCAGCCCATGAAACCATTTTAGTGGCCCCTGAAATGATTTTTAATGATCATTATTACAGTAACTTGCAGCATTGGTGGTAATGAGAGACTAAACCAAAAGCCATCTTTGGGTTAGACCAAGTTGAGTTAAAGCCAAATATATATATATATATATTTTCACATGAATCTTTAATCACATCTTTTTTATATTTGGCCCAGTTGTGATAGAATTCCAACCAATGAGAAAATAAAATCCAAACAAAAAATAATAATTTGTCAAAATACTAAAATATGTTCCGGCCCCAACCAGCTCTTGTGTTTTTATCAGAGAGGAACAGGTCTAAAAACACAGTGGGAGAAAAGTGAGAGACCTCGGGGCCCACACTGACGGAAACATGGTGCATCATATCAGTTTATCAAATGTGCAGCGTTTCAGTGGAAATGGATTTGAACAGTGGATAATATAGACATGCATGCATCCTTCTACAGCTACAGTGAGACTTCATGGTTTGGAGACAGATTAATGACATGCTGGAGTGTGAACATGTGGTTGTTCCAGACGCATCTGTGACTGTAAATATGTGACTTGTTGTAAATAGCACCAATCCTGCTTTTTCTCTTCAAAATGTTGGTCTGCGAGACATGAACCAGAGCTGGGACTGGACAGAGACTTAAAAACACTAGATTTCATTTTCTCTGTTATTCACAAAGATGTATTTATTGATATAGACCTGGAATTACCAAGTTTCCATTGTTCATATCTAATCATATTTATTTTTCCACGTTAAAGATTCTGTCCTAGAAATAATGTGTTTAAAATGGTCAGAAACATCTCTCTTCAAATGAATAGAACTAAAATAGTCAAACATGAGCAAAACCCTGAAGGATCCAGCGATGTGTCTAATCCAACATCCTGGGATCAATCTGGACAAAACTCCAAACTAATAATATTTTACTTTTGTGTAGTTATATATAAAAGTAACACTGATGTTTCGCCAAAGTGTAATTACAGATAATCAACAAAAAAAATACTGAATCTAAAGTAAAAGGGAAAACCTGATCCTCCAAAAAACTCATCTCCTCAGTTTAAGCTTATATTAAAACATTGTCTTTAAACTTCTAAAACATGAAATGCCAAAGTGAAGGTTTTATTTTGTGTTTAAAGTCGGGTACCTAACTTTCAAACTCTTAACAAATATAATTTTGTCATAAAATCTTAAGATCTATCATGTAGTTTTTACCCCTGTCAGGTAATTAATCAGCTAAGCTGAGCTAAGCTAAGCTTTATCTGATAGAACAATTAAATAGAAAAGTCTAGCTTCTCTCAGCCAATCCGCTCTCAGCCAATCCGCTCTCAGCCAATCCCCTCTCAGCCAATCCGCTCTCAGCCAATCCGCTCTCAGCCAATCCCCTCTCAGCCAATCCGCTCTCAGCCAATCCGCTCTCAGCCAATCCGCTCTCAGCCCAAAGCTTCAAACAGTGACTCACAGGGCCCCACGAGACTCTTACGGTTTATCATCAAAAAGTTAGGTACCCGAGCTTTATGGACTGAAATGTAAATAAGTGTTTCTAACTGACCAGTGTGGTAAAGGTGTCAGTGCTCTGTTGTAAATACTGTATGTAGTACTCAGTCTAAGTACTGTAAGTAGTACTAAGTAAAGTACTGTATGTAGTACTTTGACTGTCCTGCACTTTGTAAATGTTTGAATAAAGATGATCATGTGCTCTGTCCACAGCACCTCTTCACTCTCTCATACACACACTGACACATGCAGACACACACACACACACACTGACCACACACACACACACACACACACACACACACACACACACACACACACACACACACACACACACACACACACACACACACACACACACACACACACACACTCACTGACCACACACACACACACTGACCACATATACACACACACACACTGACTACAACCAAATGCCACAAACACTAGAGTTCACATTTGTATAGGTCTTGTTAATATTTCAAACCTAAACAACATTGAAATCCCTAAAGGCTAAATCAATTTCCTTCTGATTATCTGTGAAAAATGTGCAGAAATAAGTCTATTTTCTGTCTATAAATTTCATTTTTGAAAACTCTTGGACATCATTGAGAGTGGTTTAGCCTTAATAAAAGCTCTGGGTTGGTGGAACGAGTTAAGGATAGTTGAAAGAGCCTCTCGGTGGCCGGAAGGTGGCGCTAAAGAAGAGACACACGCGACACTCACACAGGACAGACAAGTTTTTTACGGGAAATCCAATAATGTGGTCGTTATTTATAGTTTTGGGCCCTCAGAGTCTGTAGACCATGTACTGATATAAAGTAATAGGAAAGGTCCAGACAAGAATAAAGCAGAATATACATGAGCGGGAGCTGGAGTTTACTATGACAAATGTTTTATCAACAGTGAAAGTGAAAAAGATCATTTCTTAAAGATTCGTGGGGAGAGTTACGATTTTTATTATTATCATTATTATTTATTCTCAATAATGTAGGAGAATGTAGCTGTGGTTCACACTCCGATACAGTAGGTGGCGGAAATACATTTTCCTGTTGACTCAAGAAGACATAAAAAGACGTGCGACACTTCCGGCGCACGTTGGTGACGTCACAGAAGATGGAGGACACGGCCCAGGTCCAGTCTGATCAAGGTGAATATCAGACTGTAATAGCTTCATGTTTGTGTTTGTGTGTGTCCTCTCTCTTCTTCTTCTGTTACGTCTGTTACACCGTCAGACTTGTACAAGAGACATCAGTCAACGTTAAATGGTAACTGTTGTAGCGTTAGCATAACATTAGCATAGCGTTAGCAAGCACCGCTGTCCTGACCGTGTGTGACGGGTTCGAGTCAATTTAGGATCCCGTGAAAATGCCTCTGTTGGGTAAACTGGGTCAGTGTGGTTTCGTTTGTGGATATGACCATAGTTTGGTTTATTAAAAGAACGAGCTGAGGCAACGACTGTGTCTGCACCAAAGAAATAAGTTTGGAATCATTCTGTGATCATCATCTCTTTTGGACATTTTAGCCATTGGACTGTTGAATACACTGCCTTTGAAATGGAAACGAGCCACATAAACATTCTTGATTGTAAACAGAGCTGTGATAAAGCAGGGCATGTGTCTTTGAGCCTCTGCAGATGTTAGAGGTGCAGTTACATGTTTCACTGGTGTAAATCCTTATGAAAGGTGTTGAAGTGGCGCGTTTCTTCTGTGTTTGCTCCAGTGTTCAGGTGGTGATGCTGTCCCGGACCTCTGCACACGTGCGTCCTCTCTGCACCCGTCTCCTCAGCTCTCGGCCCCTCATGTCGGACCCCTGCAGACCTGTGGAGACCTCCATCAGGGCAAAGCTCACAGACGCCCTGCAGCCGGAGCACCTGGAGGTCCACAATGAGAGCCACATGCACGCGGTTCCCCCAGGCTCAGAGTCCCACTTCAGGGTCCTGGTGGTCAGCCCTCTCTTTGACGGTCTTTCCCTGCTGCAGCGCCACCGTCTGGTCAACACCGCGCTGCAGGAGGAGCTGAGCACCAGAGTGCACGCTTTAGCCATCCAGGCCAAGAGCCCGCAGCAGTGGGCGGCCGACCCCTCTCTGGGCAAGAGTCCTGGCTGTCTGGGAGGCTCCAAGGGCGACCACACGGTCCAGAGCAAACTGCAGACAGAGCGATAGTGACAGTGGAACGCTGCGAGATGTGTCAGAATCACACACTTCTACAGATCTCTCCTGAACCATAAACTGAGTCTATTCATAACTCTACACTTGTTATGTGCAATCTTTATGTGAATATAATAAACAAAATTATGTTATTTGCATAAAAAACTAGTGAGTGTTTATATCTTTAGGCTGAGAGCTGATTGGCTGAGTGAGGGAGGGTCTTCTCTTTTTCACTTCTGTCAAACAGACAGAAGCCAGAAATCATGTGAAACGAGTGACAGAAGCGACTGTTTCAGAGGCAGAAACCAGAGTCATGGGTTTGTGTCCCATGTTTTGTGGCTTGAGAGTGATACTGAATCTTTCCCACAGCGGAGGAATGTGTGGCTGTGTCCAGTGCACTGTGGGAAATTATGATTGTTAAAACAGACTGGAACACATGTATGCACTTTTATACTGGCTCATCGTTACATGTCTCAATTGAATAAGAGAAGAGAACCAATTCACTGTATTCAGACTCAGTTTGCACGATTCGAAAGCATCTGTTTGTGCCAGGTTTTTTGTTTGCCGTCTGATTGTTGGCACTAAAGTTGTGATTTGGATTCGATTGTGATTAACTGAGCCTTAATTCAGAATATATTCAATTCTGAATATATTTCAGAATTGTTATATTTACAATATAATAGTTTTATATTTATTTAGAGAGCACAACAAAGGAAAAAACATCTGTGCAGTGAAACTAAAACGTTTGATTTTTTTAATAAAAGAAAAGTGGCCTCACACAGCAGCAATCACAGCAGTTACTTCAAGAGGTTTTACCCAAACACCCTGCTCAGGGACTACAGCTGGAAGTTAGCACTGCTGCTAAAACCTGCTACAATCTAACCTTTCGGCGTGAAACATCTCAAACTCAACATCAATAGAAGTACTGAAACATCCGAAGACCACAGTGTCTTAATGCTGCCACAAGGGGCAGTGTAGGGCTTTATTTTAAACTATGTAAACGCATTGATGGTAAGTGCAGGTCTACAGCGGTATTATGTAGCCTTTTTACACACACACACACACACACACACACACACACACACACACACAGTGAACTCATAAGGACAAAAAACAAGGGATTTTACATACACGTAAAAAAGTCCAAATGTTTTTTAAGCCACACACACACATTCTTGATAACATCAGAAAGTCTAAATATTGTCCATAAATTAAATATAAACAAAGGTAGTTGTAGATTTGTATCATGGACAATTCTTCACATTCTCGTTTACGTGTTTTAGAAATCTATGCATAAAATCCCTTTATCACGTTTTCTTGATCGCACTTATCGTTGATGTTCAGACTGAGTGGTTGTGCTGTTAGGGGGAAATAAAGTTCATTCACACTATAAAACTAACCATTTTTTTATCCCAATTCCAAAACCGTATCATGTCAATCAAACTCTGTCACGTTGGGAATGTTAGATTCAGAGCAGGGGGCTCAAAAATATGGTGTTGTGTGCCCCCTAGTGGACATCAGACATCAGTTCATTATATTTATCTGGAGCTAAACTACGGGGACAAAACACAACAGTCTGTGCTTTTGTGGATTTTTTCTCTCCCAGTGCAGGTTGGATACTGTGCAGAACTCTGAGAACTTGGCTGTGTCTTTGGTCGCTTCACGTTTGGGTTTAGAAAAGGGATTTCTTTTATCAACCAGTAAACAACTTTTCTTAGAGCGTCTGTCTATACAAGGCAACACAAAGCACCTCACAACACACATCACATCCGGCATTAATCATAAACATTAGTATGTAACATAAACATTAAACAATACAATTAAAATCCCACAGGGCAGTAAACACACACTCTAAGATCACAAGAAATATTAAAAACAAAATCACACAAGTAATTCAAAACCTTTAAATCTCACATGGGATTGAATTCATAAATAGCCACAATAGTCCCTGTGCTCCTCAGAGTCCCAGCAGGAGGCCAGTCCCTGTGCTCCTCAGTGTCCCAGCAGGAGGCCAGTCCCTGTGCTCCTCAGTGTCCCAGCAGGAGGCCGGTCCCTGTGCTCCTCAGTGTCCCAGCAGGAGGCCAGTCCCTGTGCTCCTCAGTGTCCCAGCAGGAGGCCAGTCCCTGTGCTCCTCAGTGTCCCAGCAGGTGGTCAGTCCCTGTGCTCCTCAGACTCCTCCTTGGTTCATTCGTCACTAACATGAGCCACAGGAGCCAGTGCAGAGACCTGGGACCAGGACTAATGTGATGGTACTTCCTGGTCCTTGTCTGGACTCGAGCTGCTTCTGTTTCACTGCTTGTCTTCGTACCAAAGATCTGACGTGTTGTAAAGTGAAAATGAAACTAAACGACTATATGCCCAAAGCATGTCGGACAAACCTAATTTACATGATTCCTTTGAAGTCATCTAGAAAATCTTTTTTTTCCTCTGACCTCTGAACGAAACACAGAACCGTGGGCCCTTGAGGCACACTCCTGTCCACTTCAGGGGCCCCTCCACACACTCCTGTCCTCTTCAGGGGCCCCTCCACACACCCCTGTCCACTTCAGGGGCCCCTTCACACACTCTTGTCCTCATCAGGGGCCCCTCCACACACTCACACACTGCAGACACTTGACCACAGTTCACACTTGTGGCGTTGGGGGAGGAGCTTAGATTTTGGTTCTGGGATTTCAAAACAGAACAGACTCAAAGTGCAAAGTAGGTGCTCTGATGGTGATGTTGTACTGGTCCCACAGAGAGCCCACCGAGAGACCACAGACCACAGAGGGACCACAGAGGGACCACAGAGAGACCACAGAGAGACCACAGAGAGACCAGAGAGAGACCACAGAGAGACTAGAGAGAGACCACAGAGAGACCACAGAGTGACTAAAGAGAGATCACAGAGAGACCACAGAGGGACCACAGAGAGACTAGAGAGAGACCACAGAGAGACTAGAGAGAGACCACAGAGAGACCACAGAGTGACTAGAGAGAGACCACAGAGGGACTGAAGAGAGATCACAGAGAGACCAGCGAGAGACCACAGAGAGACTAGAGAGAGACCACAGAGAGACTAGAGAGAGACCACAGAGAGACCACAGAGTGACCAGAGAGAGACCACAGAGGGACTGAAGAGAGACCACAGAGAGACCAGCGAGAGACCACAGAGGGACTGAAGAGAGACCACAGAGAGACCAGCGAGAGACCACAGAGGGACTGGAGAGAGACCACAGAGAGACCAGAGAGAGACCACAGAGGCGGTAGAGAGAGACTAGAGAGAGACCACAGGGAGACCACAGAGAGAGACTACATAGGGACTAGAGAGAGACTAGAGAGGGGACAATCCCCTTCATCAGGGACTCTTTCTTCATTAGGGACTCTCTCTCTATTCTTCAGGGACTCTCTCTCTCTTCTTCAGGGACTCTCTCTTCTTCTTCAGGGACTCTCTCTCTTCTTCAGGGACTCTCTCTCTCTTCATCAGGGACTCTCTCTCCTCATCAGAGACTCATCTCCACTCATCTTTCCACTTGATGGACACATTATGGCCACAGTCTTAAGGGGGGGTGTACCCGGTCATTAGGAGCCAGGGAAAGAACACTCTCACTCGGTGGGCTTTGTGCTGGAGGCGGGCTGAAGCTGGGCCTTTAAGAGCCGCACATAACACGGCCCCGGGGCTCCTTTGTGCTCAGTGAAAGGGCCAAAGCAGGGGCCGCAGGGGGGGTCCGGGGGGGGTCCGCTTCCTCAGCACATCAGCCGTCGCTGCCACCGCTTCACTTTAGCTCATGTCTGATTACTTTGCTTTGCTCTTTCTTTCACAGACAAGAGGAGAAGCTCTTAAAGAAGATATGAAGCATCAGGAAGTGTTCTGTGTGACGCTAGAGGAAACAAACGCAGTCACACGGATGTAAACAATGTGAATGATGCTAATTCAGGAGCAATACTTTTGTTTAAAAGGCATAAAACTGCTGATGTCATAGTGATACAATGACATCATACTGTTACAGAACTGACAGGAGCTTTTAGACAGAAGGGGCGGAGCTACGTGTTTCCAGAACTTCCTGATATACTGTATGTAAGTAAGTCATCTTTCATAGACCAGAGTCACATGGAGCAGGTCATCCACAGCTGTCAGACCTGTTACCTGGACATGTCATGTTTTAGTGGAGGAAATGTACGCAGACATGGGGAGAACATGTAAACAACCCATTTCCACATCAGCCTGGGTGGAGCTAAACAAACAACTGCAGGTGATGAGGAACAAGGTTTAAATCAAAGAATTAGGATGAAGAACCTGCTGTCTGCATGTGTCCTGGTCTGATGGTCCTGGTGTGATGGTCCTGGTGTGATGCTGCTGGTGTGATGGTCCTGGTGTGATGCTGCTGGTGTGATGGTCCTGGTCTGATGGTCCTGGTGTGATGCTGCTGGTGTGATGGTCCTGGTCTGATGGTGCTGGTGTGATGGTCCTGGTCTGATGGTGCTAGTGTGATGGTCCTGGTGTGATGGTGCTGGTGTGATGGTGCTAGTGTGATGGTGCTGGTGTGATGGTCCTGGTCTGATGGTGCTAGTGTGATGCTGCTGGTGTGATGCTGCTGGTGTGATGGTCCTGGTGTGATGGTGCTGGTGTGATGGTCCTGGTCTGATGGTCCTGGTGTGATGCTGCTGGTGTGATGGTCCTGGTCTGATGGTGCTGGTGTGATGGTCCTGGTCTGATGGTGCTAGTGTGATGGTCCTGGTGTGATGGTGCTGGTGTGATGGTGCTAGTGTGATGGTGCTGGTGTGATGGTCCTGGTCTGATGGTGCGAGTGTGATGGTGCTGGTGTGATGGTCCTGGTCTGATGGTGCTAGTGTGATGCTGCTGGTGTGATGGTGCTGGTGTGATGGTGCTAGTGTGATGGTGCTGGTGTGATGGTCCTGGTCTGATGGTGCTAGTGTTATGGTCCTGGTCTGATGGTGCTAGTGTGATGGTCCTGGTCTGATGGTGCTAGTGTGATGGTCCTGGTCTGATGGTGCTAGTGTGATGGTCCTGGTGTGATGGTCCTGGTCTGATGGTGCTAGTATGATGGTCCTGGTGTGATGGTCCTGGTCTGATGGTGCTAGTGTGATGGTCCTGGTGTGATGGTCCTGGTCTGATGGTGCTAGTGTGATGGTCCTGGTGTGATGGTCCTGGTCTGATGGTGCTGGTGTGATGGTCCTGGTCTGATGGTGCTAGTGTGATGGTGCTGGTGAGAGGAGGGCAGACCCCTGGAGTGACCCCTGCTCCTCTGAGAGGCCCAAACACTGGGGTCACAACCCGTCTCCTTTATTGGCCCTCTAAGGCCATCAAAGTGCCAGCTTTGGCTGACAGGCCCTAATGAAGGCTGTGACTGCTTTATGTCCTTCTCTTCCTTCAGTCGGCTGCAGAGACTCATCCTCCTCCTCCTCCTGAAGAGGACACACATTCATAAACTTTTTAACCATTGCTGCTGCAGTCAGCCGTTTATATATATATATATATATATATATATATATATATATATAATATTTGTATATGTATATATTTGAATATGTATATATTTATATATATATGTATATATATATATATATTTGTATATGTATATATTTGTATATTATATATATATATATATATATATATATATATATATTGTATATGTATATATTTGTAAATTATATATTTATATATATATTTGTATATGTATATATAACATATATACACTGGATTGTGTATTACTAGTTTATAGCTGCCCAGCACATGGGCGTGGTACTGCAGACTAAATTCACGTGGGTTACTCAGACAAATATCCCAATAATACTCAGTGTAAACTAAAACAGCTCGACCTCAGCTGACTGAGAACCTGACAGAGAACCTACAGTTTTCATAAAGGTCATTGTAGTGTCCTGTGTCGTCCTGAATTTTTTTCGTGTTGAATCCACCGGTTTCAGTGAAACAAACTCTGCTGTTTTCTCCTCCCGCTCTAGCTCCTCTCTGATTAGCAGCTTTGATTGGTCAGAACGCTGCCCTCTGATTGGTCAGAACACTACCTCACTGTGCACGTGCATGAGAGACACGCTCGCTGGTATCTGGAGCAAAGCTCCAACTCCAGACACCCTCTGCATGACACTATGGCCGCTCAGAATCAAACCCAGTAACCTGTTGTGATAGAAGCAACAGGCTCCTATCACTACACTGATCCTTTGTTCCTCCAGCTGTCAGACTGTACAACAAACCTGGATGAGTCTTCTGCTGCTGGACACCTCCGTTTCTCCTACGGGAGTCTAAGACGTACTCTGCACCTCCTCCACACTCTGCACCTCCTCCACACGCTGCACCTCCTCCACACCCTGCACCTCCTCCACACGCTGCACCTCCTCTACACGCTGCACCTCCTCCACATGCTGCACCTCCTCCACATGCTGCACCTCCTCCATACCCGGCACCTCCTCCACACGCTGCACCTACTCCAGATGCTGCACCTACTCCACAAGCTGCACCTCCTCCACACGCTGCACCTACTCCACACGCTGCACCTCCTCCACACACTGCACCTCCTCCACAATCGGCATCTCCTCTACACTCTGCACCTCCTCCACACGCTGCACCTCCTCCACATGCTGCACCTCCTCCACACGCTGCACCTCCTCCACATGCTGCACCTCCTCCACACGCTGCACCTCCTCCACATGCTGCACCTCCTCCACACGCTGCACCTCCTCTACACGCTGCACCTCCTCCACATGCTGCACCTCCTCTACACGCTGCACCTCCTCCACATGCTGCACCTACTCGACACGCTGCACCTCCTCGACACCCTGCACCTCCTCCACACCCTGCGCCTCCTCCACACTCTGCACCTCCTCCACACCCGGCACCTCCTCCACACACTGCACCTCCTCCACATGCTGCACCTCCTCTACAAGCTGCACCTCCTCTACATGCTGCACCTCCTCCACACGCTGCACCTACTCCACACGCTGCACCTACTCCACACGCTGCACCTCCTCCACATGCTGCACCTCCTCTACACGCTGCACCTTCTCCACAATCGGCATCTCCTCTACACCCTGCACCTCCTCCACACCCTGCGCCTCCTCCACACTCTGCACCTCCTCCACACCCGGCACCTCCTCCACACGCTGCACCTCCTCCACACCCGGCACCTCCTCCACACCCTGCACCTCCTCCACACCCTGCACCTCCTCCACAGCCACATGCCACAAAGACACGTTTAGTTTCATGTAGACTCTGTTATTAGAGAAATACCAGCTGCATTCTGACAGAGCTGTCCTCCAACTCACAGGGATTTACAGCGGTGCTTTCATCTTATTGAAAGACAGAATATTTTTAACAAAACCTTTGCAGATCTATGGAGGTTTGAGCTTCTCTGGGTAATATTTGGCCCAGCTCAAATGAACTGAGATGTGATTAATTGAATCATAAGTGTGTAAAATATCTTAATGAACTCAAATGGATGAAAACAAGATAAAGGATAATCAAAGAATGAATGAATAACAAGCACCATCCATCACTCGTTACATTCAGACCTATTGGACATGTTTTTGGCGGTAAATGAAAGCGGAGCACCTGGAGGAAAACCTATTCAGACACAGGGAGAATAGACAATCTCCACTCAGACAGGCCCTGTTCTGACCGGGATTCGAATCCAGAACCTTCTTGCTGCACACACAAGTTTTTTATGTAGCTGGAGACAGTGAGAAAAGTATTTGACAATAACCTCTCCTTCACACAGCGAGTAACAGCAGTAGCACCAAGCACTTAGTCAGGAAGGTAACTTTATCGTCTGCATTTGACCCACCCTGATGCCACTGGGCGTCTGTCAGGAGCAGACCCATCTACAGATATTGATGCTCGGTTTATTTCAGAGCTGGAGCCGTACGTTTTTAGTAGTAAGGGAAACCAAATCTATCTATCTCTCTATCATCTATACATCTATCTATCTATCTCTCTATCTCTATCCTTTTGAAGAAGCTGCCCCTACCCGCTGCTGTGCCCCTGGAGTCCTGTGGAGCCAGGATTCTCCCGTGAAGAATGGGTTCTCTTTAATCTGCCGTGCTCAGGACTTAGAGAAAAGCCGAAACAAAGCTTTGTCCAGAGCACGGGAGGGCAGCCCGGGGGTCAGGGGTCACAGAAGGGGGTCACACTTAACACATAGAAGCGCTAACAACGCTAACATTTAACACACACTGCACTGAAGGAATCTGCACATCTCTATTGTTTCATTGTAACAATGTGTAGGAAGCATCTCCCAACGCTCTGGCTCAGCTCTTTCACTTTTATGGACAAACTATAGTCGTCATTTCTACAGTTAGTGCCAGGGTTTCTGGGTATCTAACTTACTAATAAGTAAATTAATCAACATACATTTGTTTAGCACTTTCCAACTTTCCTCTCGAAAATATCTTTACAGGATGTTCCAAAAGTCAATGCAGAGTGGAGTATTGTTTTTTCCAGTCCACAGTTTCGCTGCTGTGGACTTTGAATGCACTCATTAAAGGAATGGGACTCACGCATGCGTTTTTTCCATAGAGTGTAAATATTAACGGACATATTCACGCTTATCTACGCTGTTGGAACTAAATTGCCATCCCTTTTGCCTTCTGTGGGCTTCTTCAAAATGGCCGTTGGGGCAGGAAAATGTGAAAAAAAACAGTGGGGGTGGATCCCGGCTCAAAAACGTCCACGAGCATGTGCACTGACATACTTGCAATACCACCCCAAGCCAGTGGGGGTGGACCCTGAAAAAGAATGATTCAATGCTTTTCTATGGCGTCTTCTTTCCTCTCGAAAACGTCTTTACAGGATGGTCCAAAAGTCGCTCTTGGCCCAAAGCTCCGTTCCAGATGTGTCAATGCTGAGGGGGGTGTATATTTTTTTAGCCGCTGTGGACTTCAGAATGCACATGTTACATGAATGGGGCTAGTGCAGGTGCTCTCTCTTTGGCTGCGATGAACATGTGACATGCGCAGCGGAACAAACAAACAAAATGGCGGCGGATGAACTCCTCGGTCCAAACAAAACCACAGCTGTAGTTCAGTTTGTCGCTGCTTCTGTTTAATGCAGAGTGATGTTGGTTCTTTGGCCTGAGGAGGCTGTTGTTGAGGAAGTGGTTATATTGGTGGAGGTTATGTTGTAAAGCTCCACTGCCCCCTACTGGCCAGGCGCTAGAACTACATTGTTTTTTTTTAGTTTAGACGGTTTTTTAGTTTAGACGGTTTGCACTTCAAATCAGGAGCTGGGTTGTTTTTGCGATGAACAGGGCCTCAGCTTTGCCTTTACACAACGCTGACCTGTTCCCAAGGTCCTGTTCATCTGTTCTTGTTCTGCTGCTGAGTTTACACACTCAGTAACTACCACCAAAACATGGTGCTTCATCTTCTTAATGTTTTGATATGACTGAGCACAGGACACAGTCAAGACAAATTCATGTAAGAATTTGAAATTCCATTTTTTATAGAGAACAAACAAACACTTCTGAAAAGTGTGGAGAAGCAGCAGCTCTACTCCAAGCTCCTGCCGTGTGACTGCGCTCCTCACCCTATCAGTGAGGGAGCGCCCAGCCACTCTGCAGTACAGTCCAGGACTGGTCCAGGACTGGTCTAGGACTGGTCCAGGACTGGTCCAGGACCAGACCATTGGAGAAAAAAGCCTTTAACTGCCATAAAATGTTGCCAGGCGACCAGAAATGTCTACATTGTAACATCTCTGGGAGTTAAAGGTAAAAATCAAATGACATAGAAATAAAGTATTTAGAGGTACAGAACAGTCACAAAGTTAGGAAGACCCCAAACGTACATAAGCGGAGTTATTATACTTCCAAAACTAAAAGCCGTCAAATTGACTGCTCTGGGAGTGTGGTAAACAAAGGAAAAAGTGAAAGCAATCATTATTGTAGTTTGATAATCGAGCAGCAGGTTTCCCCACACTCACTGTAAACCCTAACTTCAATCCTACTTCAGATATCAAAGTTATTTTAAATAGATTTTTCCCAGTAAGTATATATTACTCATTTATTGTTAGTTTATTTAAAGCTTGCCTATGTCACTCAGGGTTTTATTTGAATTGAACTGTTTCTGTTCAAGTAAGCCTCACTTTTGACATTTTGATGTGTAGACTGTGTGTCAGTGTCAGGGTGTCCTGGTGGCTCAGTGGGTAGCACCATTGCCTCTCAACTAAAGGGTTCTGAGTACGATTCCCGGTCGGATCATAAGTAAAAATTTAAACTTTATTGCAATCACTCAAGTTACTTGGTAATATCAAGTAAAAGATGTACTCGAGGAATTCAAGTGAAGTTAATACGCAATTTATTTCCATGGTTTTTTCAAGTAAACTTTACTTGTCAGGGTTTACAGTGCTGTTTTTAACTTTTTATCATGGAAAAGACAGGACAGATGTGGATGTGTTCGGAACAGCATCTCTGTGTCTCAGTCTCTGTGTCTCCTCTGTCTCCTCTGTCTCTCTGTCTCTCGATCTCTCTGTCTCTCAATCTCTGTGTCTCCTCTGTCTCCTCTGTCTCTCTGTCTCTGGGCGGGGGAGGAGGGGGGACAGTGGTCTCATTTGTCTCGTGCCTCATATGGAAAATAGAAAGACAACTGGCCTTTTGAGAGAGCAGCCGCAGGAAACACGCAGTCCTGGACACACACTGAGGACACACACGGGATCCACTATGGACACACACTGGACACACACTGAGACACACACTGGATCCACTATGGACACACACTGGACACACACTGAGGACATACACTGAGACACACACAGAGGACACACACTGGACCCACTATGGACACACACTGGACACACACTGAGGACACACACTGAGACACACACAGAGGACACACCCAGACGTCAGCACATCACCCCAGTACTGTATTCCCTACATTGGCGTCCAGTTTCGATTCGAGTTGATTTTAAAATGTGACTCTGTTTTTAAAGCCCTGAATGGTCTCGTGGGCGTGTCTCAACTCCTCCTGGAAGTACCAAGGACTAGGTCCAAACATTGGGGTGTCTGCTCCTTCTCAGTCCTGGACCCAGACTCTAGATAATACATTAGTTTTATATACAGTAGCGCTTTTCAAGAACTCAAAGACGCTTCGCAAATTTATGACACACACACACACACACACACACACAGACACACAAAACTAAAAATCTAAGAGTGGAAAAGAAGGGTATAAAGTTTAAACTAAGAGTCGTATGCTTGGAGGAAGAGGTGAGTTGTTTTTGAAGGAGTTTAGTGAGTCCGAGTTTCTGAGATGAGGAGGGAGAGAGTTCCAGAGAGTGGGAGCAGAGATGGCGAAAGCTCGGTCCCCCAAGGTTCGGTGCTTGGATTTGACAGTGGGAGTGAGGAGCTGTGAGTCTGCAGATCGGAGTCGGCGGGACTGTAGGGCTGTAGAAGTTCAGTGAGGTCTGGAGGAGCGAGGTCATGGAGGGCTTTGTAGGTGATGAGGAGGATTTTGAATTGGATGCGTTGTTTGATGGGGAGCCAGTGGAGTCTATGAAGGACAGGGGTGATGTGTTCTCTGGAGCGGGTCTGAGTGAGGAGGCGGGCGGCGGAGTTTTGGACATATTGTAGTTTTTGGAGATCAGATGAAGGAAGGCCGTATAAAAAGACTGTTGCAGAGGTCGAGTCTGGAGGATATGAAAGCATGGATCAGGGTTTCAGCAGCGGTGGAAGACAGATATGGGCGAAGACGGGCAATGTTTTTAAGATGAAAGAAGGCAGTTTTGGTGACGTTGCGGATGTGGGGCTTAAAAGAAAAGGTGGGATCAAGGATGATTCCGAGGTTTCTGATCTGAGCAGACGGTGAGATGGTGTGGCTGTCGATGGAGAGTGTGAAATGCTGGGTATTGGAAAGGAGGGACTTGGGGCCGATAATAATAATTTCAGATTTTTTGCAGTTGAGTTTGAGGAAATTGGTGGACATCCAGGATTATATTGCGGATATGCAGTTTGTGATGGAGGAGATGGTGGCAGGGGTTATGGATTTGGCTGACAGGTAAAGTTGAGTGTCGTCTGCATAGCTGTGGAATTTGAAAATGTGATGCTGGATGATGTGGCCAAGGGGCCGCATGTAAAGAATGAAAAGGAGGGGACCAAGCACCGAGCCTTGAGGTAGGTGACCGGGATGCAGCGAGATGAGCAGTGGAAGGACTTGTGCTTACGTGTTTGTTTTTACAAACAAGAGTGAATAACAGTGAATGTGGGTACAACTAAGTGCAAGAGCACAAACAGCCGTGCCGGCTCGGTCTTTTACATTTTGGCAATAACTAGCTATATACTGTAGCTCGGTCAGTAAACACAGATAGAAATGGATACATAGGGTTACTTGGATTATAAGTCGCACTGTTAAAATTAAAGACTTTTATCCGCGCCTAATAGTGCAAAAAACACAGTATTATAATGTACTACTATTAGATAAAAGGTACCTGTGCTAAAACACAGGTACAGTAGGTCTGTGACTACTGCAGACCTGCTCCTTGTGTGGAGTTTAGAGCCGCAATCTAAAAACATTTGTCATGGGCCTGACTCCATCAGAAACATTGGTTTCAATGGTTTTCAAACGGCTACTTTTAGCGTCGCATGTGGGGGAGGAGTCACATGTGGGGGAGGGGCCAGTCGCTCTCATGAACAGAAGTTCACCTCTATCTTCTTTTGTTTAACTCTTTTGTTTAAGTATTAACCAAAGTATGAGTGTGTTTGTCCATGTGTGTCTCTGTGTGTCCATATGTGTGTGTGTGTGTGTGTGTCCTTGTGTTTGTCCATGTGTGTGTGTCTGTATGTGTGCATGTGTCCATGTGTGTGTTTCTGTGTGTCTGTGTGTGTGCGTGTGTTTCCGTGTGTGTGTGTGTCCATGTGTGTGTCATGTGTGTGTGTCGGGTCAGAGGTCAGGAGTCAGGCAGAGGGAGGATTCTGGGCTGCATACCGACAGGTCAAGTTTCAGGGGGAGGGGCGCCCCTGGGCTGAGCCTGCTGCAACACGTCACACAAACAACATCACAACACAACGTCCAGAACTTCAGCTGTTTGTGTGTGTGTATCATCGACACACAACCACCACACACCCACACACGGCCCTCACCAAACCAGACCAGACCAGGTTCAGAGCAGGTCCATCTGACGTCATGAACAAGGACATAGCAATTTGGAAAAGTTATCAATTCCTTTGTGGATGTGTGAGATTTCATAACACTTTGAAGCAACTTTTGTTAAAGTTAAACTCATCATTCTATCAATGTGCAGAAGCCAGTACTTTTCCCTTGTTTTGTCTATCTGAAGGCCAAGCTACATGGCACTGTGGCAGCTGCTGATTGGAGGTCTCCATGCCTCCGCTCTGTATAATACACTTGCATTCTGTGTTCGTGTTGTTCGTGCTGTCTCTACCATCGACAATAAAACATGTCTTCTGTCTGAATGAAAGACGCGATCCCAGACTTTGTCATCTTCTTCAGATGAGAAATTTGATTTTCCCGAAGTGGCCTCAGAATCAGCAGTAAAAACGAAATAGTAAGGAACTGTAATCATGTGCAATGTGCAATACTGCTTCAGAACGTCCCCTGAATGTCACTTTATCTACTTATCTTCAACTATCGCTAAATCCTCTCACACACAATACAATACACACACACAACACACACACACACACACAACGCACATAATACACACACACACAACACACACACACACACGACACACATCATACACACACACACACAACACACACACACACAACACACATCATACACACACAACAACACACACGACTCATAAAGCGCACATACAGGGACTTGTTTTGACTTTCTGTTGTTTGGAAATTGATCTACAGCCTCAGTCCTGGGTCTACAGCCTCAGTCCTGGATCTACAGCCTCAGTCCTGGATCTACAGCCTCAGTCCTGGGTCTACAGGACTGAGGCCCATAAATCTGCCGTTTATGGGAAAAATTCTGGAAAAAGTAGCTTACCAACTTTACAGAATTCTTAGTAACTAATAGTTCGTTTGATGCGCTCCAGTCCGGCTTTAGAGCCAATCACAGCACTGAGACTGCACTAGTGAAGGTTACAAATGACATCCGACTTAACACCGACACAGGAAAAGTCACAGTTTTAGTAATGTTGGATCTGAGTGCTGCGTTCGACACAGTCGACCACGAGATCCTCATGCAGAGACTAGAGCACTGGGTGGGTGTCACTGGGACTGCCCTAAGTTGGTTTAGGTCTTACCTAGAAGACAGGAAATACTTGGTTCAGATAGGAAACTGTGTCTCAGATCATATGGCTCTGACCTGCGGAGTGCCACAGGGATCAATTCTGGGGCCTCTTCTGTTCAATATTTACATGCTGCCGTTAGGTCAGTTAATACGCTCCAACAATGTATCCTACCACAATTACGCTGATGACACTCAAATTTATGTCTCACTTACTGCAGGAGAACATGAACCAGTGGAATCACTCCTTCACTGTATCCAACAGATCAGTGATTGGATGCAAAATAACTTCCTTCAGCTAAACGCAGACAAAACAGAATTGATTGTCTTTGGTCCTCAGAAACAAAGAGAGAGCGTTATTCGTCACCTCCAGTCTCTCTCCCTGGAACCTGTAGGCCAGGTCAGAAACCTAGGAGTTATAATGGACTCAGACTTAAATTTTAACAGTCATATCAAATCAGTAACATCAGCAGCATTTTACCATCTGAAAAACATTGCCAAAATTAGAAACATAGTGTCTAAATCAGATCTGGAGATTCTCATCCATGCATTTGTCTCCAGTAGGTTAGACTACTGCAATGGCCTGCTCACAGGTCTCTCCAAACAGGCTGTAAAACAACTGCAGTATGTCCAAAATGCAGCAGCTCGAGTCCTGACCAGGACCAGGAAATATGACCACATTAGTCCAGTTCTCAGGTCTCTGCACTGGCTTCCTGTGGCTCAGAGAATAGACTTCAAAGCAGCACTGCTTGTGTACAAGTCTCTCCATGGCCTCGCACCAGGGTACTTAAGCGACTTGTTAGTCCCATATGAACCGACCCGGACTCTGAGGAGCACAGGAGGTAGCCTCTTACTGGTTCCAAGAGTCAGAACTAAACATGGGGAGGCAGCGTTTGAGATTTATGGAGCTAAAATCTGGAACAATCTTCCTGAAGATGTGAGGCTAGCATCTACTCTGGCAATTTTTAAATCAGGGCTAAAAACTGTTCTTTTTAGCTGTGCATACGGCTGAAGGATTTTATTGATACATACTCTTTTTTTTTTTAATGCATTGTGGTTATTTATTATTTTAATCCCGTGTGTGCTTTTAATATTTTAAGTTTTTTTTTTTTTTTTTTTTTTTCCATTATTTGTGATTTTATTCTGTTTTTAATGTATTTATTGATGTCTCTGATTTGTGTGATATTATGTGGGTTGTGAGGCGCTTTGAGTGGCCTTGTGTTGGAAAGGCGCCATACAAATAAAGTTGATTGATTGATACAGCCTCAGTCCTGGATCTACAGCCTCAGTCCTGGATCTACTGCCTCAGTCCTGGATCTACAGCCTCAGTCCTGGATCTACTGCCTCAGTCCTGGATCTACAGCCTCAGTCCTGGATCTACAGCCTCAGTCCTGGATCTACAGCCTCAGTCCTGGATCTACTGCCTCAGTCCTGGATCTACAGCCTCAGTCCTGGATCTACTGCCTCAGTCCTGGATCTACAGCCTCAGTCCTGGATCTACAGCCTCAGTCTTGAGGCTTTCACTTTCTCCAAAGCCACATCTGTGGTGTGTGCTGCAGGTAAGACGCCTGTGCAGCCGTTACTGTAACAGTGATAAATAAAGTTCCGTGCTGAGGCACAATGAGGCACAAACAGCCTCTGATCATTAGTATCTCCAAGAGGCTCTAACGAGGGTTAAACTCTCTCACATGTACACAGCTCTATGCCTCTATTGTAGCACATAATGATCATTAACGAACATGCAGCCCTGCCCTCCTGTAGCTCCCGCGGAGCCTGGATGGATCAGCACAGCTGTGTTTCTATTGTGTGTGTCCACAGTGCTGAAACACAACACTGTCCCCGCTCCGGCTCTGAACCACAATTTATTGTATTTACTTTTCTAGGCGTAAAGAAGCAACTGTTGCACAAAGAGGGACGAGAGTGTGAAAGGTGACAGGAGTGTGTGTATCAGTGTGTATCAGTGTGTGTGTGTGTGTGAGTGAGTGTGAGTTCAATCGAGAGACTACAGGAGAAGAGATGTAAAAGATTTATTGATTGCAAGATTGTTTGTAGTTTATTAGTTTGAGTGCCCGGCTGTGGCTCTGTGAGGATCTGTGCATCATGCAGATTACGATCCTGGACCTAAACACTGGTGGCAACAGGGCAAGGTGTGAGTGATGGAACCCTGAGGAGGAGGTGGAGATGGGGAGGAGGTGGGTTGGAGGTGGAGAGGAGGTGGAGATGGGGAGGAGGCGGGTTGGAGGTGGAGAGGAGGTGGAGATGGGTTTGGTGTGTGGCTGCTGGGAGTTGATGAAGCTGATGTGAGTGTAAGGACGTGTTTGAGGAGTCTACCAGTCTGAAGTTACACTTAGTTGCATTTATGATTGAATGTGTGTTGTGTGCGTGTTGTGGCTGTGTGTGTGTGTGTGTGTGTGTGGCTGTGTGTGTGTGTGTGTGTGTTGTGGTTGTGTGTTTTGATCTTGACCCACACACTTCACAGTGTCTCCTGTCATTATGTCTAATGGACAGAGCTTTTCTGAGAACAGTTCTCATGGTTCTGTAGAGAACAGCTCTCATGGTTCTGTAGAGAACAGTTCTCATGGTTCTGTAGAGAACAGTTCTCATGGTTCTGTAGAGAACAGTTCTCATGGTTCTGTAGAGAACAGTTCTCATGGTTCTGTAGAGAACAGTTCTCATGGTTCTGTAGAGAACAGTTCTCATGGTTCCGTAGTGAACAGTTCTCATGGTTCTGTAGTGAACAGTTCTCATGGTAGTTCAGGACCATGTGGAAGAGCTGTTGGACAGGGGCCCAGGGGACACTCTGGTGTGAAATAGGGGCCTCCTCTGCTCTCTGCCGACACCTGGGATCACTTTATTAACCCTGAGCTGTGGTGACCCCTGAGGTCCCAAAGAGGGGGAGAGGGGGAGAGGGGGAGAGGAGAGAGGGGAGAGGGGGAGAGCAGGACCCTGTGTCAGCTCCTTTGAAGAGCAGCCCCAGTCTCTCCTCTCTCTCTGCGATGACTTTAGCAGCAGTGTGACCCGCTGACCCGCCGGGCCCCGCCCCTCAGCCACAGCTGCTTCTGCTATTGGCTCCGTGTGACCAGGACCCGGACCAGGACCAGGACCAGGACCAGGACCAAAACTGTAGAGGAGCCTCTAAAGGTCAACTGTTGGTCAGGGCTTTTATTGGAGAGAGCACAGAGGACCACCGTGTGTGTCACTGCACTACTGCACTACTGCACTCACATTACTGCAGGATCAGTATGTAGTAGAAACAGTATGTAGTATTAACAGTGTGTAGTAGTAACAGTATGTAGTATTAACAGTGTGTAGTAGTAACAGTATGTAGTATTAACAGTGTGTAGTAGTAACAGTATGTAGTAGTAACAGTGTGTAGTAGTAATATATAGTTGTTGGAGTACGTAATAGTCACAGCATGTAATAGTGGTAGTAACAGTACATAGTAGTAATATGTAGTTAGGAGTATGTAGTGGTAACAGTATGTTGTAGTCACAGTTTGTAGTATTAACAGTATGTAGCAGTAGTAACAGTCACAGTATTTTGTATCAACAGTATGTAGTAGTCACAGTATGTGTAGTAATATGTAGTTGTAGGAGTATGTAGTAGTAACAGTTTGTAGTATAAACAGTATGTAGTATTAATAGTACGACCACATTAGTCCAGTCCTCAGGTCTCTGCACTGGCTTCCTGTGGCTCAGAGAATAGACTTTAAAACAGTCTGGCCTCGCAGCAAAATATATTAGTGACATGTTAGTACCATATGAACCAGCCCGGACTTTGTGGAGCACAGGGACTGGACTCCTGCTAGGACTCTGAGGAGCACAGGGACTGGACTCCAGCTAGGACTCTGAGGAGCACAGGGACTGGACTCCAGCTAGGACTCTGAAGAGCACAGGGACTGGACTCCAGCTAGGACTCTGAGGAGCACAGGGACTGGACTCCAGCTAGGACTCTGAGGAGCACAGGGACTGGACTCCAGCTAGGACTCTGAGGAGCACAGGGACTGGACTCCTGTTAGTGCCCAGAGTCAACTAAACATGGGGAGGCTGCTTTTCAGATTCATGCTGCTAAAATCTGGAACAGTCTTCCTGAAGATGTGAGACAGGCCTCCTCTCTGACAATGTTTAAAACCAGGTTAAAAACAGTTCTGTTTAACTGTGCATACAACTGAGGGATTTTATATTTGTATCTTTCTTTTTAATGTTCTGTGATTATTTATGATTTTAATGCTTTCTTGTTTTGTTCAGCACTTTGAGCTGCCTTGTGTATGAATTGTGCTATATAAATAAACTTGCCTTGCCTTGTAATAGGAATATAATATAGTAGTAGTATAGTATGTAGTATTAACAGTAGTATGAACAGTATGTAGTATCAGTGGTAGTAGTATTATGTAGTATAAAGAGTAGAAGTAGAAGTAGTAGTAGAACTAGTATGTAGTAGTAGTGGTAGCAGTAGTAGTAGTAACAGTAGTAGTAGTAGCAGTACTACTTACTACTACTTACTACTTACTTACTTACTTACTACTACTACTAGTAGTAGTAGTAGTAGCAGTATGCTGTAGTAGTAGTAGTAGTAGCAGCAGCAGTATGCAGTAGTAGTAGCAGTAGCAGCAGTATGCAGTAGTAGTAGCAGTAGTAGTAGCAGTAGTAGTAGTAGTAGTAGTAGTAACTCTGGGGTAACTGCTTCTCTCTGAGACTAAAGCTTTTTCTTCAGCCACATTGACCTTTGACCCCTGAGAATGCGTCCCCTTTGGCACTTTTAGACCAAACTATGTGGGAATGTCAAAGTGCTTCCAGCTGAACCAGGAGAGACAGGACCAGGAGAGACAGAACCAGGAGAGACAGAACCAGGAGAGACAGAACCAGGAGGGATAGAACCAGGAGGGATAGAACCAGGAGACACCAAACCAAGAGAGACAGAACCAGGAGACACTGAACCAGAAGGGACAGGACCAGGAGGGACAGGACCAGGAAGGATAGAACCAGGAGAGACAGAACCAGGAGGGAGAGAACCAGAAGAGACAGAACCAGGAGGGACAGAACCAGGAGGGACAGGACCAGGAGAGACAGGACAAGGAGGGATAGAACCAGGAGGGAGAGAACCAGGAGAGGCAGAACCAGGAGAGACAGAACCAGGAGGGACAGGACCAGGAGAGACAGGACAAGGAGGGATAGAACCAGGAGGGACAGAACCAGGAGAGACAGAACCAGGAGGGACTGGACCAGGAGGGACTGAACCAGGAGGGACAGAACCAGGAGGGACTGGACCAGGAGGGACAAAACCAGGAGGGACTGAACCAGGAGGGACTGAACCAGGAGACACTGAACCAGGAGAGACAGAACCAGGAGACACTGAACCAGAAGGGACAGGACCAGGAGGGACAGGACCAGGAAGGATAGAACCAGAAGAGACAGAACCAGGAGGGAGAGAACCAGAAGAGACAGGACCAGGAGGGAAGGGGCCAGGAGGGACTGAACCAGGAGGGGATAGAACCAGGAGAGACAGAACCAGGAGGGACAGAACTAGGAGAGACAGGACAAGGAGGGATAGAACCAGGAGGGACAGAACCAGGAGAGACAGAACCAGGAGGGACTGGACCAGGAGGGACAGAACCAGGAGGGACTGGACCAGGAGGGACTGAACCAGGAGGGACGAACCAGGAGAGACAGAACCAGGAGGGACAGAACCAGGAAGGATAGAACCAGGAGAGACAGAACCAGGAGAGACAGGACCAGGATGGATAGAACCAGGAGAGACCAAACCAGGAGAGACCAAACCAGGAGACACTGAACCAGAAGGGACAGGACCAGGAAGGATAGAACCAGGAGAGACAGAACCAGGAGGGACAGAACTAGGAGAGACAGGACAAGGAGGGATAGAACCAGGAGGGACAGAACCAGGAGAGACAGAACCAGGAGAGACAGGACCAGGAGAGACAGAACCAGGAGAGACAGGACCAGGATGGATAGAACCAGGAGAGACCAAACCAGGAGACACTGAACCAGAAGGGACAGGACCAGGAAGGATAGAACCAGGAGAGACAGAACCAGGAGGGAGAGAATCAGGAGGGAGAGAACCAGAAGAGACAGGACCAGGAGGGAAGGGGCCAGGAGGGACAGAACCAGGAGGGACTGGACCAGGAGGGACAGAACCAGGAGGGACAAAACCAGGAGGGACTGAATCAGGAGGGACCGAACCAGGAGAGACAGAACCAGGAGAGACAGAACCAGGAGGGATAGAACCAGGAGAGACAGAACCAGGAGAGACAGGACCAGGAGAGACAGAACCAGGAGGGATTGGACCAGGAGGGACTGGACCAGGAGGGACAGAACCAGGAGGGACTGAACCAGGAGGGACTGAACCCGGAGAGACAGAACCAGGAGAGACAGAACCAGGAGAGACAGGACCAGGAGAGACAGAACCAGGAGGGATTGGACCAGGAGAGACAGGACCAGGAGGGATTGGACCAGGAGAGACAGAACCAGGAGAGACAGAACCAGGAGGGATAGAACCAGGAGAGACAGAACCAGGAGAGACAGGACCAGGAGGGATTGGACTGGAGAGACAGGACCAGGAGAGACAGAACCAGGAGAGACAGAACCAGGAGGGACAGAACCAGCAGAGACAGAACCAGGAGGGATAGAACCAGGAGAGACAGAACAAGGAGAGACAGAACCAGGAGAGACAGGACCAGGAGGGATAGAACCAGGAGAGACAGAACCAGGAGGGACTGAACCAGGAGGGACTGAACCAGGAGAGACAGGACCAGGAGAGACATGGCCAGGAGGGATAGAACCAGGAGAGACAGAACCAGGAGAGACAGGACCAGGAGGGATAGAACCAGGGGAGACAGAACCAGTAGAGACAGGACCAGGAGAGAATGGACCAGGAGGGATAGAACCAGGAGAGACAGGACCAGGAGAGACAGAACCATGCGAGGCAGGACCAGGAGGGATAGAACCAGGAGGGACAGAACTAGCAGGGAGAGAACCAGTAGGGACAGAACTAGGAGACACAGAACCAGGAGGGGCAGTGCTAACTTGTTAGCAAACAAAGCTACAGAAGACGCTGGCTCCAATTCACAAACACATTTACTGTTCAGTCAGACCAGAGCTCACAGGGATCAGTGTCCTGCGGGTGATGTCACACTCTGTTCGCCCACTCACTGGCATATTCAGGCCTCAGTATTAGAAATGTGTGTGTGTGTGCGTGCGTGCGTGTGCGTGTGTGTTGTTTAGTTCTGTGAAGTTTTGAACATGTTTTGACCTAAACATCTTTATTGATTGCTCTCTGTTATTAACCTCTCGCCAGTCCCTGTGCTGCAGTGTCCCTGTGCTGCAGTGTCCCTGTGCTGCTGTCCCTGTGCTGCTGTCCGGGTGCTGCAATGTCCCTGTGCTACAGTGTCCCTGTGCTGCAGTCCCTGTGCTGCAGTGTGCCTGTGCTGCAGTCCCTGTGCTGCTGTCCCTGTGCTGCAGTGTCCCTGTGCTGCTGTCCCTGTGCTGCAGTGTCCCTGTGCTGCTGTCCCTGTGCTGCAGTGTCCCTGTGCTGCAGTCCCTGTGCTGCAGTGTCCCTGTGCTGCTGTCCCTGTGCTGCTGTCCCTGTGCTGCAGTGTCCCTGTGCTGCTGTCCCTGTGCTGCAGTGTCCCTGTGCTGCTGTCCCTGTGCTGCAGTGTCCCTGTGCTGCAGTCCCTGTGCTGCAGTGTCCCTGTGCTGCTGTCCCTGTGCTGCTGTCCGGGTGCTGCAGTGTCCCTGTGCTGCAGTCCCTGTGCTGCAGTGTCCCTGTGCTGCAGTCCCTATGCTACAGTGACAGCTGACACACTGTGCTCTTTCTGCCTCTGAAGGATCTTTTTATGGCTGACATTCCTGAGTCCAAACAGAGCCCCTTGTTCAGCTCCACAGCCTTTTTTCATCTGCCTCGTTTTGGAGCCGGGGGTCAAAGGTCAGGACCCCCTCCAGCTTCAGAGACATGTCAGGTCAGAGCCACATAGCATTCCTTGTATAGACCCTTCACCCCCCCCCCCCCCCCCCCCCCCCCCCAGCCCACAGTCCAGTAGTGTAACAGGCCTCATGATCAGAGACAGGACAGCAGGACACAGGCCTCATGATGAGGGAGAGGACAGCAGGACACAGGCCTCATGATGAGGGAGAGGACAGCAGGACACAGGCCTCATGATGAGGGAGAGGACAGCAGGACACAGGCCTCATGATGAGGGAGAGGACAGCAGGACACAGGCCTCATGATGAGGGAGAGGACAGCAGGACATAGGCCTCATGATGAGGGAGAGGACAGCAGGACAGAGGCCTCATGATGAGGGAGAGGACAGCAGGACAGAGGCCTCATGATGAGGGAGAGGACAGCAGGACACAGGCCTCATGATGAGGGAGAGGACAGCAGGACACAGGCCTCATGATGAGGGAGAGGACAGCAGGACACAGGCCTCATGATGAGGGAGAGGACAGCAGGACACAGGCCTCATGATAAGGGAGAGGACAGCAGGACACAGGCCTCATGATGAGGGAGAGGACAGCAGGACACAGGCCTCATGATAAGGGAGAGGACAGCAGGACACAGGCCTCATGATGAGGGAGAGGACAGCAGGACACAGGCCTCATGATGAGGGAGAGGACAGCAGGACACAGGCCTCATGATGAGGGAGAGGACAGCAGGACACAGGCCTCATGATGAGGGAGAGGACAGCAGGACACAGGCCTCATGATGAGGGAGAGGACAGCAGGACACAGGCCTCATGATGAGGGAGAGGACAGCAGGACACAGGCCTCATGATGAGGGAGAGGACAGCAGGACACAGGCCTCATGATGAGGGAGAGGACAGCAGGACAGAGGCCTCATGATGAGGGAGAGGACAGCAGGACAGAGGCCTCATGATGAGGGAGAGGACAGCAGGACACAGGCCTCATGATGAGGGAGAGGACAGCAGGACACAGGCCTCATGATGAGGGAGAGGACAGCAGGACACAGGCCTCATGATGAGGGAGAGGACAGCAGGACACAGGCCTCATGATAAGGGAGAGGACAGCAGGACACAGGCCTCATGATGAGGGAGAGGACAGCAGGACACAGGCCTCATGATAAGGGAGAGGACAGCAGGACACAGGCCTCATGATGAGGGAGAGGACAGCAGGACACAGGCCTCATGATGAGGGAGAGGACAGCAGGACACAGGCCTCATGATGAGGGAGAGGACAGCAGGACACAGGCCTCATGATAAGGGAGAGGACAGCAGGACACAGGCCTCATGATGAGGGAGAGGACAGCAGGACACAGGCCTCATGATAAGGGAGAGGACAGCAGGACACAGGTCTCATGATGAGGGAGAGGACAGCAGGACACAGGCCTCATGATGAGGGAGAGGACAGCAGGACACAGGCCTCATGATGAGGGAGAGGACAGCAGGACACAGGCCTCATGATGAGGGAGAGGACAGCAGGACAGAGGCCTCATGATGAGGGAGAGGACAGCAGGACACAGGCCTCATGATGAGGGAGAGGACAGCAGGACACAGGCCTCATGATAAGGGAGAGGACAGCAGGACAGAGGCGTGTGATCTTTGGACTCTTCTCGACCAGCCGAGACTTTTAACACTTTTCACTGACCCTCTGTATCTACACTCTGCACGAAACTGTTGTGTCCAACATAGCAACCTACACACAACACAACCACCAACACACAACACAACCACCAACACACAACACAGCTCTGGTGACTTGTGAGGAGAGAGTTCTAGAACCTGCCGTTCAATGTTTTCTATTTAAAGTATTTCAAATACATGTTTGTGTGACGTCAGAAACACGTGCACATACTCTCCTCGGGACACGGCTCATTATCAAAGCTCTGTGTGCGTTACAAGTGTTTGAACAAAGTGACAAGACACACGTGCTCCCTCAGAGAGAGGGTGAAGAGAGAGGGTGAGGAGAGAGGGTGAGGAGAGAGGGTGAGGAGCACGGCCTCATGGGAGGAGCAGAAGCAGAATATGACAGATGGAAGCACTATTTATTCTGATGTTGTGAATGGACCTAAAACAAACCAGTTTAAAGTCTCTGATGTTTCCTTTCATCAGAACAATCTTCATCTGAAGCATTTTTATTCAATGGAACAGTTTCAAACCAAAAATATCACAGTCAGACTTTAAACACTGTCTTTTTAATGTGAGCTGGTCATGGTAAACACCATGTGGAGGTCTGGTCATGGTACACATCATGAGGAGGACTGGTACACAAACCTCAACAACAGTCGCCTCTAAAGGCGTTACAGAAATGTAAATAATAAAACAATCTGACAGAAAAACAAAGAGGATTTAAACTGTCCTCAACTTTTTCCATGAAATCCCAAAAGTCTTAGTGCTACGGCAAAGTTACAGGAAGCCTCTGAAAGGGTTGCAAAGTCCCTGCATGTACTATACTGAGACAGGTCTGAGTCTGTATGTATACTGAGACAGAGGTCTGAGTCTGTATGTATACTGAGACAGGTCTGAGTCTGTATGTATACTGAGACAGAGGACTGAGTCTGTATGTATACTGAGACAGGTCTGAGTCTGTATGTATACTGAGACAGAGGTCTGAGTCTGCATGTATACTGAGACAGAGGTCTGAGTCTGTATGTATACTGAGACAGAGGACTGAGTCTGTATGTATACTGAGACAGAGGACTGAGTCTGTATAATGGTGCTTCCAGACCGCCAATGCTGAAACGCACATTCTCTAGTTTTCAGACGCAGGGGTTTTCAGACCAGAGGTCCTGGCGCACGCCGGAAGTGGCAGAAGTAGCCGGCGGGCTCTGATGCTAACAGAGTTAAGCTAGCGGCTTCTTGTGTACAGATCTTCTCCATTAATGCATCTTTGCAGCGTGTCTGTGTCCATAGACCTTCCACAGACTTTATATAACAGTAGTATGTGTTCACGGAGGTGCGCCATACATTTATTTTATTATTAAATGGTACTTCCGCATCGGCGAACAGGCTCGAAGCAGTTGCATAAAGTCACGGGAGCATGAAAACTCACATGTTAACAAACACTCTGTCCCCCATTGTCAACCCTGGTTTAGTCCTGGAGTGGCTCCTGTTTTGGAGTATTTTCAGTCTGCTCGCTCAGACCACTAATGTCCCCGTGACCACTTTACGGCTCTCTGATTGGTTGCTGCACAAACATCCCGAGGAAAGGTTCAGCAAAATTCATCTCCTGCGTTCCTCCCCTTCGACTTTCCCGCGCAGTCCGTGCGTGCATTCCGAGACGCTCGTGTCACCATTGACTTTGCATTGAAAGCCGACGCAACACATGATCCGGTCTGAACGCAGCATTAGATAGAGATCCTTTGTTCATTTCACAGTGGGGAAATTTCAATGTTGCAGCGCACATACAGGACAGTAGTGAGACACATGGAGCACACAAAATATACAAAATGAAATTCTTAGCTGTAAATGCTTCGATTTCAATCATTCAAAAGTATCTAATATATATAGTGCAACTTTATTTACATTTAGGGCAGGGTAATAAGTAGATGGTGGTGGGAGGGGCCGATGGCACATTCAGTGGACATTCTGAAGTTGCAGTATTGCACATGATTACAGTATTTACAGACTCAGCAGTTTTCATTGTACAGTCTGACAGCAGCAGGAAGGAAAGACCAGCAGAACCTCCTTCACACAGCCAGGATGAATGAGTCTGTCACTGAGTCTGCATGTATACAGATGTGTGCGTCAGGAGTGGTCAGTTTGGGGCCATGTAAACACAGTGCATGATGTGACCCAGTTCTAGCCAGAGGTTGATCCATCTTCTGCTCCATAACTCTCCGGCTGCTCGGCCTGAGAACACCACATCCACTCGGTCAGCGCGCACACGTAGCCAGTGTCAGTGAAGCCAAAATAGGAACTGGACATTCATAAATAAAACGTTCTTGAATAAAAAAACTTGTCAGCAGCCTGGAAGCAAACACCATCAGTCTCTGCACGGGCCAGAGTTGAACAGATAGCAAAATAAGTGTTCAATGAAAGTGTCCATTTTTGGGAGTGAGGTGGGAGGTCAGCAGACAGAGAGGGGCCGAGCAAGCGGGGTCCCACACCACTGTCCTGACCCCTGCGCCACAAAAACAAATACATGAATATGAGTGCAGCCCGGAACAGATAAATCCTCCCACACTTCTGCCCTAATCAGCCTCAGCGCTGCAGCGGAAAGGGAAGGCTGACTCTCATGTGAGCCGCCTGCCGCTTCCATGGGACGCGTGATTGATGTCACACGTGCCTTGTGCTCCGTTAATCACTGGACAGCGGCCACTGAGCGGCACATCCTGAGGTTCTCATTGGTGCAATCGATTCTGTTCAGTGTCGTGACTTTTAGGGAACGCAATTAATAATTGCCACTGGTTTACTAAAAGTAGAAATATTCAATTAAATAATTATCTGCTTTTTTGTGTTTTCTCTGACTTTACTGCGTCTGCTCCAACCTGTAGCACGGGAGCTACCAGTAGCTCGCCACCCACTTTCAGGAAGGATTCATGAATTTGACACATGATCCTAAATCAGGGGGGTCATTTATGCGGCCCGCGGGCCGATTTTGGCCCGCCAAGAGATTTGATACGGCCCGCTGCTCATTTATGTAAAATGATACAAATAAAAGAATAATAATAATGATAAATAATAATAATAATACAAATTTAAAAAATCCGCCTCGCGTCGCAGCGCGACGCCACAGCGCGACGCCACAGCGCGACGCTGCTCAGCAGCTAGTCCAGTGCGTCTGTAGTGGTTCCACCAGAGCAGTGCTGAAGGAATAACATCTTAGACTACGAGACTC